TTGAATTCAAAACTTTATTTTTCTTTTCTTGCATACTAAGGTTATGTAAATGAAAGTTTATAATTTAGAACTTATAATTGATAAATTAGATAAAAGCTTATAATTTTAAAAATAATTGAATTAAAACTGTTTAGTAAAATTAGCTAAAATGTATTAAATAACTGAGGAAAAATATGTAATATTATATATTAATAAATCTTAGAATTTAATGAGGAGAGATAGAGATTTAAAATTTATATTTATGTTTAATTTATTTTAAAAGATAAATATATAAATGAGATAAAATTATTAGTAGTTACAAATTACAAGCTAAATTCTACTTTTCAACAAGTTTTTCAACACAGTATTTAAAAAATATAAACTCTTTCATTTTTTAAGTTATCAAAAGGTTTTATTATCTTTTTTTTTTAATAAGCTATAAGTTCTTGAATAGATTAAAACTATGTACTACTAAACACATCTTAAATGAATTATAGTGATATGATTTAAGAATTTATATGAGTTAGGCATAGCGCTAGGAGGCAAAAAGAAAAAGCATTATCTGAATTGGGTGGTTAGGTATAACTAGAAAGTTAAAAAGCAATCTAGATAGTAATTATGTGACTACACAATGTATCCAGATCTAAGAACAAGATACAATGTGAACTACACTCCTTATATAGGAATCTATAAAAGATCCTACTAGTAGCTAGCACGGGAAGTAAAAAAAGCTAAAGAAATAAGTCACAAAGAAAATCAGTTCAGAAAAAATTAACGGGAAAGAAGGAAAATTTGAAGGGGTGTAGAATTTATTGTTGAAGTCTTGGCACAATGTTTGACAAGACCACCGGCCACTTTTTGGGTGGTAACGTAACATTGAATCATGGAAGTTTTATATTCATAAAAAGTGAGTTAATGGTCTAAAGGAGCCTTCTAATTCGGCAGTCATCGAATTTGAAAGTGCATTTGCACGCCTAATTTCAAGCGAATTTGTCAGAATTCAACAGTATAGTCATAAAGAGTAAGAATAATAATGCATGTATGACTAGCCATGCAGCTTAAAATAAGCATACATGCATTGGTTATACTTATATATCAAATGCTTCCTTGACCATTCCACACACCGCCCACGTTCTATCATAATGGGTTCATTGGTGTAAAACCACCTATCCCTGTCGTAAATTGAATCGTAAGGAATGTGTGAATAGTAATGAATGCGTATGTAGGATCCAACATAGAACAAATATTGTATATACTATGTCGCGACATGGTAAGGGGAGAGATTACAAGATCAAATTATAGTTCATTGTTTCTTGTGATAATAACAGCTCAGCACGTGAGAGTTTGCATTGTTCTGATATAGTGGTAGTATTCAGTGATGACGAGACTCTAGTGGACAAAGTAAATAGGCTCAAGTAAGTAAATAAGGATTCAAGGCAAGTTTAGTGCAAAAGATAAGAAAAATGAGAAACTTAAGTGTGACTTACATTCTCTTTTCTCTTAGATACAGATGTTTATAACAGACTTTAAACGTACAAGTTGTGTGATAATGACAAATATTGTGACACTTAAGGCTTCTTGAATCCACATAACCCCAGTTATTGATATAATAAATAGTATTATATCTGAGTATTAAAAGTTATTGTTATAATAAATTTGTGACAATAATTTAAATGATCACCATTCGTCGCTGCAACTCAAATTACTATTCAATTGGTGATAATTTTTTAACATTACAATGATGACAAAACTTATCGTAACTAGTAAATGTGGTAATATTGATTTATTTGTTACTATTTAATATTGTTTTAGTTTTGAAAAAACATTTTCAAATTTTAAGTACAGATTAATTTATTTGTTCGGTGAATTTAACTTATGACACCTTTGAAATAGTATTTATTGTATTTTATACACAAAAATAGTAATATATAAATAGTACAAAATTCTTCTACTAAGACGTTATTAATTTTAAATTTTTTTGAAATATTTTAATTTAATTTCCTTACTTAAATTTTCTTCATCAACTTTTCAATTACACATATTTATGTTTCATGACTTTTAAATTTTTAAATCATTATAGATTTTAAATTAATTGAAAATATTATATAATTTTACACATATAAATCTATGTTTGAAATATTGTTATTGTGTCTAATTATGTCTTAGTCTACATACATTACAACGAATATCTTTTCATTCAATCTTTTGGAAAAAATGCACTAAACTAAAAGATATTTAATGTATATTTGTTAATAGTATTTGTAACTAAGAAATGTATTAAAATTATAGGGCAGGGGATACATATACGAATTACAAGGTGGGTGTAGTAACTTTTGTGGACAAGGTGCGTGCTCTAATGGGAAAGGTAGTAGTGAAGTTTGAGAAGAAGTGAGATTTTGGATCTATAGCAAAAATATCTTGCTGCAAACATGTGATAAAAGGCAATTTTTTGCTTACGATACAATCTAATTTTATTAGACTCTGTTTTCTGATGTGGACCGGAGGCCCCAAAACCCTAATGCTGTTAGTTTCAAAGGCCCTACTCGTTATAGCTTACTGAAGTGACCTCATACTAACATTTTATGTAAAGCCACTAATTCCCACATTCTCCCAAACTCCCAACCCTTCTAATGTATATAAGAATTCGTTAAATTATAAACTATTTATTGTTTTAGTAATTTTGTATACTAAATATTATACAAATTAAACATTCCTAAATATATAATTTTAGAATTAAAATTTATTTATTTATATTTTTAAAATTTTACACTAAATTTAAGATAATTAATAAGGTTTTAATTAATTTGTAACTATATAAAATTTTATAAATCTAATCTATTAAATAAAAACTCTTAATGCAACAATCAAATTGATGAAACTTATTGTGTATAAAATATTATTAAGTAAAATAAATTTCATTTTTCCTTTTATGTATGTAAGTTCTCTTGTACAGGCATAAAAAAAAACTTCCAAAATACTTTTTTCTCTAAAGTCAGCAACTAGAAGGTATTTTCAAGTCTAAAAAGCTAAAAACTAATACCTATTCACAATTTGTGTTGTCGCTGATACAAGGAAAACATTAATACAAGTTATGAAATGCAAGTTTATTTTAAAATATAAGTGAAATATTGAAAAAATATTGAAAATTATATAAAATAAGGATAAAACTTTAATGCAGTATTTTGAATATTATTTTAATTAAAATCAAAGTTTTAAAATAAAACTCTAATTTTAATTAAAAGTTTAACAGTAAAAATATAAGAAATTATAAAATAAATCACCTTATTTTGTTTTATTTTTTAAAAAGTAAAATCAAATGTATAAAACTAATAGACGTAAAGTCAAGTTTATAAATATCCTCCGAAATATACAAATTATTCATAAAATAAAGCAAGTATAACGAGACGTGTTATTTTCCAAAAGAATGCGAAAGAGGGTATGAGCACCCGAAATACGTAAACTATGAGCTCTGTGGCTATGATAGCAATAGTCTGACTCACATGCGCAATTAATAGCTTCTTTTTAAACGTGGAGATGAAATTTCTGGTAATACAACATTTATGCAATTCTTATCGAGCAGAGAAGGTGCTATGATTCTCCATATTTGGGAAAATGACAAAATATGACAAGTAAAGAAGAAAGTTTCGAGCATCACTTGATTAATACATATATCGCACGGTTTAAATAAGCTCTTTATGCTTCTTACTGAACTAGCCCTATATTTTGGACATTTTTTTTACACTCACAGGTATATATATTTTTATTGGTCTTCATCGCATGTTTCCTCCAGTGAATGCAATTTTGAGCCAAATAAAATTACTATAAATGATAATAAAACTATCATTCCAAAAATGACAAGTAATCTGCGTGCACTTAAATTTATTAATTAATTTATAATACATGTATTTCAACCTTTTAAAATAGACCTATTATAACAATTAAATTAAAGAGTGTGTTAAAAAAATACATATGTCGATAGCATTTTCTTTTATATTTTTATATTCCGTGCAGTTAAACATTTCAACGTATAGTTCTATTTTTATTAGCATGCTATCTTTCATTCAAATGAATAAAATTTATCCTGAGTTTTTCTTTTTTCTAAAAGAAAAGAATGCAAAAGCTTAAACTTATAGATAATTAATCACATGTAATTTTTTAACTAACTTTCCTCATAACTTACCCAGTTCAAGTGGCTTATTTGTCCTAAGGCATTGATTTAGGAGTGAGTGACTCAAACAGGCTCATACTGAAGCTTGAGTTCAAGCTACTTAAATCACCTCTTTTTATTCTTATTCTCTTCTGTGTCCCATAGTGACAAAAATAACAGATGGTGAAAAAGTGACACTCTCTTTCTTAATTGTAAATAATCTCCTTTTGCTAAAGTATTACTTTTTAATTGGGTGATAGAAAAGAGAGCACGAAATCGAAACACGTGTCTTGATTCTTGTTCAATATATGCCACTTGCTAAGGTGACATGAGTAATCTCAATACCAAAGATAAGGCCGATTTCATGTATATATCTCCAATGGCGAAAATGGTGTACAATTCACGTGCCATGCAAGTTCAAAATAAAATCATGATATAAGAGTTAGAAAGAGGTGAAAGTAGTAATTATTGTTGGATTCAACGTTATATCTAGCTAGAATTTTTTGTTTATTAGAATTTAATGTCTCCAATCATAGCATATTATAACATTTCATTTTAATTTCTCTTTTATTTTGACTATCCAATTAACATTAGAAATTAACAATAAGAGTAATAATCTTGGACCTTCTTTTAAAGGTAAAAACTTTTTAAGATATTTCTTAACATTATTGTGTAGAGCTGTATACTTCAAATGTGTTAGTTTAGGCTTTTGGAATCATTCTCTCTTCTTTCTCTTCTAATAATAATAAAAATTATTATATGTAATATAGCTTTTAACTTTTAAAGAACCCAGCAATATTAATAACGAACGCACATACGTACCCCACCACCTCCAAACCTTATATAAAGGTCTCGCATCTTACTTCACACTCTCACACCCAATTTTCTTTGTTCCCTCCCTTCCTCCCTCCTGGTCCCCTCTCACTTTGTACTTGGAGGAGTGTTTTGTGGAGAACAAAGACACCCACTATCTCGTTGTGTTTCTCCTTATCATACATCTCAAATAACACACGCGCGGAGAAAAAAAAAAAACCAACAACAACAACTACAACAAAGGTTTAATTAAGATGGTGGCGGAGGAGAAATCCCAAAAAACATACCCGACAACTACTGAGGTACGAGACCTTACAATCCCCTTCAGAACCTTCCATGAATATTTTCACTTGTTCATTGATCACTAGAAATATATTTTATCATATTATATACATATATACAATAACATTCATTGCGTTCTGATTTTGCTTTTGCTAGGTAGTGGATGAACTAAAGAGAATGGTGGACTTAGGATTCCCAATTGCAGCCATGAGTCTTGTGGGATACATAAAAAACATGGTCTTAGTTGTGTGCATGGGAAGGTTGGGAAGCCTTGAGTTAGCTGGTGGTGCTTTGGCCATAGGCTTCACCAACATAACCGGTTACTCTGTCCTCTCAGGTTTAGCCATGGGCATGGAACCTCTATGCACACAAGCCTTTGGTTCAAGAAACTTCTCTCTAGTCTCTCTCACTTTACAAAGGACAATTTTGATGTTATTGGTAGCGTCACTGCCCATTTGTCTCTTGTGGCTAAAGCTTGAACCTTTGATGTTATGGCTTCATCAAAACCCCGATATAAGTAAAGTGGCAAGCCTCTATTGCCGCTTCTCCATCCCTGACCTCTTAGCAAATAGTTTCCTTCACCCAATTCGCATCTATTTACGTAGCAAAGGGACAACTTGGCCACTTTTGTGGTGCACTTTACTTTCCATTCTTGTACACATCCCTATCGTCACTTTTTTGACCTTCAAACTTCACCTTGGTGTACCCGGGATTGCTATGTCATCTTTTGTTGCCAATTTCAACACCCTTTTCTTCCTCCTATCATATATGTTCTACATGCGCATCTCAAAGGAGTCACTATCTATGCCACTATTGATATCTTGTCCCTTGTCATCACAACCAGATCAAAATCCAACTAGTGTTAGTGCCACAACTACACTAGGCAAGGAATGGGGCATGTTAATAAGGTTTTCTATTCAAAGTTGTTTAAGTGTGTGCTTGGAGTGGTGGTGGTACGAGTTCATGACAATTCTAGCTGGTTACCTCCACAACCCGCATGTTGCTTTAGCCACTGCTGGCATAGTGATACAAACAACTTCTCTTATGTACACTTTACCAACGGCACTAAGTGCATCAGTGTCAACAAGAGTAGGAAATGAACTCGGTGCGGGTCAACCCGAAAGAGCAAGCTTGTCAACAGTGGTAGCAATAGGAATGGCACTTGCAAGTTCAATATTGGGGTTGTTAGGGACCACATTAGGAAGAGAGAGATGGGGGAGAGTGTTCACTAGTGATAGTGAGGTGTTAGAACTAACCATGAGTGTGTTACCCATAATTGGAGTTTGTGAGCTAGCAAATTGTCCGCAAACCACAAGTTGTGGAATCCTTAGGGGAAGTGCTAGGCCTGGTGTTGGGGCTGGGATAAATTTTTATTCATTTTACTTGGTGGGAGCTCCAGTGGCCATAGTGTTGGCATTTGTTTGGAGACTAGGGTTGGTGGGTCTTTGTTATGGGCTGTTGGCAGCACAGATAGCATGTGTGATCTCAATTCTAGTTGTGGTATACAACACAGATTGGGAAAGAGAGTCATTGAAGGCAAAAAGCTTGGTGGGAAAGAGTTCATATGACAATTTGGCACATGGAGACCAAACAGTCAAATGTGAAGAAGGTATTCTCTTTCTCTATGAGAATAGCTCCCAAAAGTGATGTTATTTTGCACCCAATTTCGTGGGAGGAATATACACACTGATTGATAATCGTGGCACTAATTAGTGGAAGACACGTTAAAGATCAAATGACCATATACTTAATTATTTTTGTTGTTATTATGCTTATGTATATGCTTTTTGCATAACCCATATTTTTTCTTGTATTTGTTTCCTTGCTGGCTACATGCATGCAAGGTCTAGTAACTCTACCTAGCTAGGTGGGTGCCATTGTCTACGACTTGTAATAGTAGGGTTATCTGATTACTGATTAGTAACAGATTCATATAATTAAATTTTGGTTCCGATCCCCTCTCGTATTTGTATGGGTAAACATACCGATTAATTTCTATATTATATGTTAACCACAAGTTACTGGCTTAGAAAATGAAACAGCTGTGTACATGTCTTAAATATCAACTATGATTGATACACACTTAAAAACAGTGTCAATATTCATCTAACATTTTTTTGTCTCTTTCTTTTTGTTTCTTTTCATTACATCACTCATCATAATCTATTATAATTTTATTAATTCCTTCTCTTTATCTTTTTTTTATTTCCAAATATAGACACCTTCACAAATATCTGTAAAAACTTTTTAAAAAATGATAGATTTGTCACCAACAAATCAAAAGTTATGATCGAAATTGATATATATAATAGTTTATCTATATAATTGTTGTGTGACAATTATTACAGAAATATTATTATTATTATTATTATTATTATATTGAATAGATCCCGGTATCAAATTTTTGAATAATAAATTATATTTATTCTTATATTGTTTAATATTTTTTGTTAATTAATTTTATTATAAATCAAATGTTAAATTAAAGGTTATAATTATATAAATTATATGTGTAAAACATACATTAAAATTAACATAATATATACTTTTAAAATATATAAAATTAAAATTTTTAGATCGATAAAAAAATATTAACAGTATAAGACTCTCGTTCTCATATATATATATATCCACACACATAACTTGTGCAAAATCTTGAACGCTATTGTTTGGAATCAATAAAAGAAAAGGCAACTAAATATTAAAAGGTACGTATTAATACTTGGAGACCGAGTATATCTTAAAAATGAAGATATTCTAATTGTGGATAATATAGATAAGTTTTACAAAGTTAAAAATCTATACCTCGTTGAAAACGAGTAGGATATACATGAGTTGTTGAGGCAGGATAACCTATTTTATTGAGGTTTAAGCATGTGCTTGCATGTGTTACGGCTACGACGAAGTATGCATGTGCAGGGACACATGGCAAGAGGAATATTATGGTACTTTCATTTATGAACAAACGAAAAATCACTGTCCTATGTCATTTATATGTACTTCTCTAGAGTTGCTATATATTTCCTTTTCTTTTCTCAGGACGAACTTGAGCCACAGCCAATGGGGTAGTCAAGGATGTGAGAATTGTGGGTTTATAAATCCACAAAAAATGTCCAAGAATAAGTTACCATACGTTATATGACAAACTATGGCAGAAAAAATATATATATATATATATTCTTTGATCTAACTCCCTAATGTAATGACATGTATGTCCCCTCTTCCCCACCACATCGATCACTTCCACTCGAATAGACTAGACACTAGACATATGCGAATATGTTTGGCAGAAATTGTACCAATTTCTAAGTTATCGCCATTTCTCAAATTAAATAAATCTGTGGAGAATGAAATGTTTTTTAAGCATCCCAAGGAGGACAACTTTGGTGTGATCTCTTGCATTTAGTTTTGATGTATTTTTAATTAGGATGTATATATATATATATACACACAAAATAAGTAAAAAGATGATTGTTTTAATATTAATTTTTAATTATACAAATTACGGCTAAACTAAATAAGAAATATTTAAAGGATAATTAATCGACAATGGAGCTACTACTAAATATCCCACCTTGAGGACCAGCCGAAAGCAGGGACAACATTTTGTTACTTGCCAAGGAGAACCTAACTGGCCAACTGCCACCTATTTTATGTCCCACTCAAATTAAATAAAATTAAAACTCTTTTTCATTATAGGATGAGCATTTCTCTTGATGAATATATTAATGTCATCTTAATTTATATATGTGTGTGTATTTTCATCACTCTCCTTAATTATTAATTAGGGTAAAAAATTGTTGTGAGAATGTGAAGTAAAAATAGTGTCAATAGTGTCACTCTTCCTTATTTAGTTGGTACTCAACTGATTTGGGTCATATGTGAACAGAATAATGATGATGAACGCATGAAAATATTGGATAAGTCGGTCTAACATTCCTGCTTAGAAGATTAGACCAAACAATAATGGAGAAAGGTTTCTGCAAAGCGTAAACGACATAGCGAATTAGACAAGTTTCGTCCTCTTTAATTAAAGGAACGTCTGAAAAAGTCTATCAGAACTAATGATAAAATTATCATTCTCATGATTCTCATATTTTTTTAAATTTGTTATAATAAATTTATTGATATAATTTATGTAAGTTATTTTAAATTAGTTTAATAATAAGTTTTACGATAAAATATTTATTACTTTTTATATAAAAATTATTAAATAAGTAATTAATTAAATTATACACAAACAAACGCACCCAAAAAAATTGATGACCCTACACCCTTGTCTCAGTACTATACTTCAACATTGATGATATAAATCTGAGCTAATGGAAAAACATGTATGTAAAGTTGTGATGAGGAAGGAAATGATTTTTGAGCGGTGTTAGATCAACGAAGATTAGTGATATATAATTATGATAAAAAAGAAATATTATTATTGTATTATTTGAGAGGCTTTTTTATTTAAATATTGTAAACTTAAAAACAAATTCTTAATATATGATTTTTTTGAAACTATTTTCCTATCTAGGGTGTCAGTCCATGTGTCATTAGTTTCGCCAATGCGACTGGAGAAAATATTAAATTTTTATTTTTTTAAAAATAAATTTCACCATAAAAAATGTGAAATAACTAGATTGTGACATGTGTCAATATCTGTAAAATTTTGTAATATGATTGGTGAAATTAAATACCAATTTCGCCATACATAGTGCAAAATTCTCAAATTGTGACATGTGTCATGATTTGAGTGAGTTTTGCCATAAAAATTACATAACTTAGCAAAAATTTGACACGTGGCACAATTTTAATGTTATCATAATTGGTATCTAATTATAAAATTTTAATTATATTATTAATTTAAATTTATTTAATTAATATGTAATTTAAATTTATATGTAAATAAAAAAATATTTTCTAGTGGAATATTAGTAATTTAATTTTTATTTTAAGTGTGGTAATGATTTGCATCTAAATCTAAATCGGATTTGGTTTGATTATGTTATTAAAATTAATAAAAGTAAATTTGCGTAATAGTTTAAAATTGTGCCACATGTCAGATTCCTGCAAGTTGTGTAATTTTTATGGCAAAACTTACTCAGATCATGACACGTGTCACAATCCGAGAGTTTTGCATCTGTATGGCAAAACTGGTATTTAATTTCACCAATCATATTACGAAATTTTACAAATATTGACACATATTACAATTTAGTTATTTCACATTTTTTGTGGCAAAATTTATTTTTAAAAAATAAAAATATAATATTTTTATCAACCGCATTGACGAAACTAATGACACATGTATTGACACACCTCAGACAAAAAAATAAAAAAAATCATATATTAAGAATTTGTTTTTAAATTTATAATATTTAAATAAAAAAGCCTGTATGTGAAGGATCCTTTTTTATTATCATAAACACAAACTACTCTGTTGTGACAGTACCAGACAAAACCTGCAAAAAATAAAAATGAAAAATTAATAATAATAAAGTGGAAACTGCAAAACTGCTACGTGGCAGTTGAACATCAAATTATTTGTTGCTGGTCCATATCTGTAAGGGACCCACCTCACTGAACCATCTTTCACAGTGAATTCGTGTGCTTCCCGGCTCATACAAGAATTCGTGCACTCTTCATGTCAATATTTGATTGCTCAGTTAACTAATTACATGCTTTCATTCTCATATATCTGCAAAGGAATGTGCGATTCACAAACGAAATGGAAATGGAATTAACGGTATAATTAAGCATTTTTTTTCTTTGTTTTTCTTGATTATACTATATTTATACGCATTTACACGCTAATCTTTATTGCATTTAATATTGACAAAATTAATTGTATTCATGTTCTGTAGTTTGTTCTACCTGTTACGGTTCAAACTCAATCTATAGGACATCTACACAGTCCACGTTGATTAGGAACAATTTGTCTACTCAAATGGTAGAGAAGTAAAATAAATAAAATGTGTTAAATTTATAAAAAATTATTTATACATCATAGTTTCTTCAACTTACATATTACATTCACCCCCCTCATGACTAAACTCTAATTGTCCTCTCACATTATCGCGTGAGCATTCTATTTCCTTTTTTGGTTGGCCTTGCAGTAAAAACATCTGTATTGAATGAGTGGAAACCTTTCCAGCCAAAACCAAGATGCTGAAAATGTACTTTGAAATGCATCTGTGAGGCTGTCTTATGGTGAGGACATAAAACTTTCCTTTCTACATATTAAAAAAAGTATATTTTGAATTTTCAATAAACAAGACATAACTGTGCTTAATTTAATAATTTTTTTACGCTTTCAAGGACAAAGGAATTTAGTAGGTTGTAGCTGATCCTCTTCCAAAATTATGTGGGAAGAAGATGCTATCGGATTACCAGAGATTCAGAGCCGTGATTTTAGTCTGCTAAACATTGTGAGCATATTAGGTTAGGTAAAATAATTTCCCTCATGAAACTTGCATAATGTTACCCAGCTCTTTGTTTAACTAAAAATAAAACTTGAACTTATGTTGGCAATAATTGTCTACTTATTTTTATAAATAATTTACAATTTACGTTATTTATTGAATAAAGATTAATAAATTTTATTTATTAAATTATATATCTAATGATTAATATTACTTATAAATTGTTAATGGTTTTTTTAAAAAATTACTATAATTATTTTTACTTGAAACTATCATAATAATTAGTCAATTATTTATTATACTTTAATTTTAGTTACTCAATATTTTTATCGGTAGAATTGATGATTAATAAAAACATACTCATCAACTCTTATAAATGAAATAATTATGCTCTTCTATTATTTTAGTGGTTCTTCTTGAAGGTGAAAATTATTATTTCATTTATCCGGCGTCAAAAGAGTGTTGTTAGACGGCAATGTATATATGTACGTAAAGAGAGAGAGCTTATAATTTTAAATTGTTTACCAAACCAATATTACATGCATGTGATTTGATTTTTGGTAAAATCTTTATAATTAGAAGGGTTTAATAATCTTTCATACATGTTAAACGATTATGGGTGTTGTTATGCATCTTTCACTCATATTCGCTTGATTTATCCTATTCAGGTCTGAATACCATTAGGATCTTACGACAAGTATCCTGTTTCGGTGTCCTTGAAGCTATGGATGGTGGACAGGAACGGATAGAAGAGAAGCGTGTCAAACCAATAATAAGCGCTTCACGAGATAACTGCTTTTAAACTGCCATCAACTGCTCAACATAACTACCCTTTTCATTTGACCATAAACCACATTGTTCAAATAATCTCATCAAAATGGAGATCCTAACATGCACACTCATTGTCATTTCACTCTCTTCTCTCTCAGTTTCTCATTCTGAATATCCAACTTCAGGTAACTGAAAAACAGCACTCATTCATCTTTGCTCTAGTTGAATGTACAAAAAGATGAAAGTTTTGCACAGTCTTTACCCTTTTTTTTTTGTGACAGATAGATCACAATTGCCGCTATTCGCTTTTAGTTGGTGGGATGACAAGGGCACATTCGAGGCTGGTGACACAGCAACCATTAAGGTCAAAGTGCTTGAGAATGCTGATAAGATTGACAAAAATGTTTTTGTGCCCATACTCACTGTGAATGGAAAGGAAGGGAACAGTTCCTATGTATCTACAGTGTTGTCAAATTTTGAAGGAGACCCGAATGACTGGAAGATTTCATTCACACCCATCAAAGTCGGATTGTTTAATGTACTCATCAATGAGGACCGTTATAAAATTTATGATTCATCCTTGCATTTCCAAGTTGAGCCAGGTTTAAAACTACCCTTCTAAAACACTCGACTATTATGTTGTTTAAAAGTAAAGGTAAAACACTACTGCTTTGTAAAATGAAAGTGCATATCATTTTGCCCGTTCTTGCTTGTACTTAGGCGCTGTGAATCAGTGTAGATTACTTGGGTTTGTATGTGCTTAATAATACTAGATGATGTTGTTTGAGTGAAGGAAACATGTACCCATCAGTGTGTGTTGCATCATGGAAGGGCCTGAAACATGATTATGAAGTTGGTTCAAAAGCTACAATCATGGTACTCCTTAAAGATGCGTTTGGGAACAGTATCTCTAAGACGACTCAAGTTTCCTATTTGCCTGATTTTAAGCTGTCTGTGCTGCATGAAAATGGTTCTCTTGCAAGTGTTCCAGATATCTCCAACATGGGATGGAATGATTTTGATTATATAGTCATCGAGTTTATTGTGACGAAAGCTGGAAACTTCTCCTTGGGCATAGAAGGAGGAAATCAAACCTTGAATGGTTCTCCGTTACCATTCAAGGTGAATCCAGGTTGTGTGATTTTGTTTCAATGATAATTATTTTATATCATATTTGGACCATCTGATATATATATCTTTATACAATGGGTGGAATCAGTAGTAATTTAAATGTTTTAGTTACATGCTTGAGCTTGATACACAAATAGTTCTAACATAATGATGAGTAATGTATATTTCAATTCACAGTGTTGGATTGAATTTATTAAATTTCACACGTGGGGTTTGTTTCCTTGTTTCTTCTAATGTCACTTATCTACAATAACTTGACTTTTTCTCCCTCAAATACCAGGAGCTATAGATGTCTCTAACTGTATCGCCAAATGGAGGTTTGACCCACATGCATGGCAATTGGCTTCCAAGATGGAAATTTTCGTACATCAGTTAGATCAATATGGAAATCTGGTTTCTGGACTGTATCCATTTGATGCTGAAGTTGTTGAAAGAGATACAAACTTGTCAATACCGATAGCAGATCTTCACTTTGTGGAAGTGGATGCTGGAATTCAGTTGTTTTCGTTTAGCAATTTGGAGCCCGGGAACTTCCTGTTGACAATATATGATTCCAAGCATAATAAAAGCATTTCCAATATGCCATATGTTTATACTGTTTTTATAGGTAAGATTTCATGCCAAGTTTCTTACAAATTTTATTGGATTTGTGCCATTATTCGTTCCCTATTGTTTAATCATTTATTATTGCTGACAGAGACAATGCATTTCTTTTTCTCCCCTCTCCCTTCCTATCTATCTTTCTGCCTACCCACCACAAAATTGAAATTTACTTTTCACTCTAATTAATCTCTTAGACCTAATGAAATAGAGAGAAAAATAAATAAAAATAAAAATAGAGTAAAAAATATGTTTTGTTTGGATAAATAGAAATAGAAAAATTTCATTTGCTTGTTTGAATGAATAAAAAAGAGAGTAAAAATAAATAAATAAATAATATAAAATTTTTAATAATAAGAAAATAATTTGATAAAAATTAAAACATTTAATATAATATTTTTTATATCAATTTTTAAAAAATATTATTTTAAAAAATTAACAGTTAAATAAACTTAAATAAATAAAAAATAAAAAATTCAACCCTCAAGTCTCTTGTTCATCTCACGGCAATATTGGAAAGAAAAAAGTAAATTGTGGGGGGAACTCTTCTATTTTATTTCCTCCCACTAAAAGATTAAATATCCAAATAAATGAATAATTTTTTAGTTTAAATAAAGTTTTAGTCTTTCAAATATTCATAATTTTTCTTGTTATTCAACTTTATTCATATAATATTCATATTTTTAAATCTAAATTTAAAATATCTTAACGTTATGACTTCAAATTTTATTCAGAAATATAAAAATGCGATGTTGTTAACGACTAAACAAGTTAGCAATTTGTCAAGTAAAGGGAATGATAAAAGTAAAAAATAATTTTTGAGTAATAAATAAAAAAATTAAAAGAAAGAAGTAAATAAAATATTCACAAATTTTTACTCCAAAAAAACTATATAATATTCACAAAATCACTCCTCTCTATTTCTTTCATTCTAAAATCACCTCATCCAAATATATCCTTAAGCCGTAGTGATTAGTGACTTCCTACATAATCATTTCAGCAAGTGAATTTTATCATTTTCCTCTGTTAGATGTAATTTTCTGTTTCATATTCCTTTCTGAATAGGTTATTGTGATGGGGTGAAAAGTGTTGTTAATGGGTCTGGTTTAAACGATTCAGTAGCTGGGGTGAAGGCAAAATTCTCTGTTTATTTGAATGACATCTATCAATATCCTTCACCTGTTGAAGCAGACATACTTCGAGTACAAATCTTAAGAGAAAATGACTCCTATAGTGTTTTACCAATCATATATCCTATGCTAAACAAAAATGGTACGTTGATATTTTCAAAGATAAACTTTTAATTTCATTCCTTTATGTAATTGATAATTGTGTTTTGATTGTTATAAGTGGATCTTGATATCAGGGAGCAGAATAGGTTCAGGAATTAGATATGATGGTAATATGGAAACTGCCCCGTCACCTTCAACAGGGCTAAGCAACAATGTAAGGAAGACATAACATTAATTTTTGGCGCACAATTACTTGGGACTCTAATAAGTTCTTACTTTGGTTTCAGTATAATGGAAGCGAGAGCTTCGTAATGGCCAGTGCTTTTCAGGTGGATTACACGCCAGAAAAAAGTGGATTTTATGATATTAATGTATATTGTGGAAACATATTATTGAATGATGGACATCCATTCAGAAAAGAGGTAAAAGCAGGTATTATATTGAATGATACATGCACTTCTTCCCATGGTGCCCCCCCACCATCCAATCAATGTGTAGAGTTCAATTCCCATTGCCTCATTCTTTTAATAAAAGTCAAATTTTAGCGCAAGGTATTGTGCATTGCATTGTCCACACTTCAAGTTTAAAAGACTCTCCTCTGTAAAGAAACATGTTAAATGTAAAATGATTCACATGCTTTCACGGAACAACTCAAGTTTATAGTGATTAGCATAAGTACAAAATATCTCCATAGTATATATTTGTATTGCAAGGTTTATGTCAGCTTTGGAAGGTACTTTTTGCAAATAGTTATTATTTAGAGGCTAGGAATCATTTCTCATGAGTGTGATCTTATCGTGCTACAGGTGAAATAAATATTTCCTTGTCAACTGTTGTGTGGTTTTCTTCAAAGGTGCCAAAGCTGTCAAAAAATGAAATAGTTGTGCAGCTTGTAGATTCATATTTGAACCCTGTCCCCTCACAACACTCAAGGTTGAAATTGGAAATTGCTTCAAATAATAGTTCTGGGTTTTCAACTTGGGACATTATAGACAATAAGGATGGATCATACAGTTGCAGCTATATGGTTAAAGATGTTGGCACTTACGATATTTGTGCTTCCTTTGATGGCAAGCGTTTCACGCCATGTCCCTTCAGTATCAATGTGTACAGCAGTAAGTTCAAACAACATGCCACTTCTAATTTTATTATTATTATTATTTTGGAAAAGAATCCTGTTTACAGTTAAAACTTAGATGCATCTAACATTTTCTTTATTTTGGAATTTTTTAAAATGAGAAATTATCTTATAACGTTTCAATCATCATTTATTCAAAAAACAATTAAACATTTTATAATTCTTGAAATTTGAAAATTGCAAATTAACCTTGATTTTTATTTCCCCTCCAAACTACAGCTTCCGGACATAAACAGGAAGTATAATCAATACTTTCAAATAGTTATTTTCTATGTACCTTCTGGATACCTTTATTAGTGTTTTCGAAGTTTGAACTTGTAAACAAAGAAATTTGATCGTGTATGTTTTAAAAATTACTTAAAAAATTTTCTTGTGACTCTAGTTGGATGGTCAAAATGCATATTTTCTATTGTATTATAATTTTTTAAAGAATATCTTTTAAGGATTCTTTTGCTTGATGACTAAGGTGAATATTTTCCCAAAGCCAACAACGATACGATATCTATTTGGGAGGATCAATCCATTGCCATTGATGCCTTAGCAAATGATTATTTTGCGGGTGATAATGCAAGTATAGCTGAATTCTCAAAAGTAAGATATGATATCACTTCATTCATAAACCTCCTCCTAGCCTCCTATTTGATGTTATTCTAAATTGATTCTAAATTTTCCCAATAGAAAGACCTTTAGTTATCATTCACATTGTGGGGGATTATGGAATTAACAAAGAAATGGTTCATTTTCTTCCAGCATTTAATCATCATTTGATGATCTAGCAATTCAGTAAATATGAGCCTCAACATCAATTTACTACATAATGAATAACTTACTTCAAATTTTTTTTATCTTTGTTGAACCAACTCGTTTTTTAAGAGATGTGTTGAAGTTGTTGATAAATTAAATTAGAAATATTTTCCATTACATTATCCACTACCTTCATCTTTGTCTTCATATTATTTTGGAATATGATAAATGACCCTTTGTCTTGTATTTTGTCAGTCAGATCATGGTTCACTTATACAGAATGGAAGGATCTTTCGTTATACTCCTTATAAAGGGTATTATGGAAATGATTCCTTCTGTTATACAATATCTGATATAAATGGAAATCTTGCAACTGCTTCTGTGTACATATCTGTTCTCAATATTCCACCTCAGTTTGCTTCTATTCCAAGTCAACTGCAAGCAACAGAAGATTTGATAAGCCCAAGATTTGGGTATGTATACTACATGCAGCATATATATAAATATTTTTGAGGAATTATGAAATATTGTTTAATTAATTGAATTGTCCTTTTCGGTATGATCGCAGTGGTTTCACTGGGTTTGAGATAACTTACTCAAATCCAAAGGAGAATATTTCTGTCAATCTGAGAGCACAATCTGGAAGTATTCTTCTGTCTCCTATAGCGATGCAATTTGGACAAGCAATGTGGAGTGAACTTACAATAAATACAGGAAATGAAACAGCAACCAGTCTTCTAATAGAGGGCTCAGTGGAAGTAATTAATTTTGCACTTCAATCAATTCAGTATCTGGGGTACTTTTTATATATTATTGTTACGTTTAAATTTGTTGAAACAATGCTCTAGTTGTTTGGAAAATTTGGTTTATTCCAATGGCACTGAAGTATTGCAAAATTGATTATGTATCTGACACATGGAACTGCACTTTGATAATGACACTTGCCAACATGTTCAATGTATTATAACATTTTGTCACATAATCTATCATCTGCTTATGGATACAAAAAATATCAAAAATATCTTTTCGGGCTAGGTGGGACTAATTACTGAAATCAAATGATGTCACTGTGCGCTATCACAAACCAAATGTTCAATGCGCTATCATTCATGATCATATCAAATCTTGTATGTTTTCTCATCGATGACAACATACTCATCTACAGCCATAAAACTTATGTTCATCGATCACAACATACTCCTATTTACATCTTACCAGTATTGGATCTTCAGGCTTTGTTTAAAAGTTTTACAGGAGAGAAAAGGAAAAGGTTTGAAAGGCATGGGAGGAGGAAGAAGGGTTAATACAAAATCTCCCAAATTAAGATATCTTAAAAATATAAGATTAGGAGGGTTTTAGAAGGTTTATAAAACATCTCTTTCTCATCTAAAAACTTTCAAACAAGAATTATCATAAGTCTTTCTCTCCTCTCCCTTTCTTTCCAAGAACTAGCTCCGAACAAAGCCCTAATGTCCAATATTCAATGTCAAGTGTCCCCAAATGTGCGTGTGCATGTATAATACAACAGTTGTTTTCCACTAGGTGTTTGTGTAATATGCTTGAATTTTCTAGTTCGATATGGCTTTTGTTTATTGTCTTTACTCTGTCCAACTGTAGTCTATATTAAGAAGTAACTCCACATGACTGAGTTATAAAGGAATTCTTTGGTATCAACGATGTGGTTAGTTTCAAGGCATTTTTATAGCATAAATTTCATAGAATATGTATTATTTTGGAAAATAAAATTTATCATGTAAAAGTAATGTGTTTTTCAAGTATCATCCATCATGATCATTATTATTTTTATTATTAATTCAGGTTTTTTTTTTCCCTCAGAAACGAGAATTTTTATGGCATAGATACCATTCAAGTCTCTACCATGAATAAGAATGGAGTAAATTCATTGGGCGTTCCAGTTTTAGTTGATCCTATCAATGATCCTCCATTTATTAGAGCCCCTTACTTCATCATATTGGGAAGTAATGAAGATGAGACCCTTATCTTTGACCAAGAAAAAGACAAGTTTGACTTTTTCATTGGAGATCCCGATCTTTTTACCTTCCCTGGTATGGTTAGGAATCTTGAGGTTATATTTTAATGCTTATGCCTAACGTAAGATTTACACGGTAAAACATGAAATTATATGAGACAACAATAATTATGTTCTTTTTTAGCCAAATGCAGCTAAACAACAAAACATGCGCAATTGTACCGTAGTTAGTTCTTTGGAGATTGATTGCATTGAAAACCTAATCAAGAGGCTTGTGATATCTAGTCATAAATATATAGACACCAGATGCAAATGTTGTTAAGTTAAAAATAACTGGTTGAGCGGTAAGATCTTTTTGTTGTTGTTGAAGCTGACTAATTGTTTCTTTATTCCTTTAGGAAGACAATATGTCTTAATAAGGATGAAAAATGTTTAATTTTGAGCTTATTTCTACTCTAATTTGGATAATGACTCTTCATTCTAACATTAATGCCCCTCTTATTTGAATAGTAAGGATGGAGTGATAGATAATTAGATTACATGTTTGTGACAAAGTACATTTAATATTGCTTACCAAATCGAAAGAGGAGAAAGCAACAAGAGAGGAATGATAATCTACATTGTTATTTCAAGTCCAATTTTCTGCATTCAAGTAATTAATATTACAGTAATGGATTAGTAAGTTTTTACTCTCCCGAAAAAGTGAGGAAACTTTTGATTGTCTTTTTTTCGTAGGAGTTGGTGTCTGACATTTTCTTAGCATGATGTAAATTATAATTATTGTGAATAACTTTTGAATCTGCTAGACTAAATGCTTCTGAATATTACAATTGATGTGATGATGTCTGTAAGAAAGTTTGGAGACATGAAATTGTGCTGATGGATCATATGTCAGGTGGTCAGGCTCATTTTCTGGTGACGTTCTCAATGGAAGTAAACGATGGAGTATTAGTTACTAATCTACCTGTTCATTTAATCAATACAACTGAACTCAAGCACATGAATAATTATCAGTGGCAACCTCTTCAGACATATGTTACTATCTCTAAGCACTTTATGGTCAAAGCTATTGGAATCAGATTTCAGGGCACAGTCAATGACTGTAATACTGTTATGCAGCAACTGTTCTATCATGTGGGTGATGTTCTTTTTACCTTGAAGTTTGAGGTCCAATCACGGCCTTCAATATGTTCACATCACCAGTTAAATATAAAGCATAGACCAAATGTATATGGCTAGTAGCGGAAACACTATCATCTGTTCCTTCATCACAAGTACATGACCAAAGTAATAGAATTTATAAAACACAACTATTTATAGAAATGAAATCATAAGAAGTTATAAACACACAAACACTACTGTTCAGGGGTTTGGTATACAAGTCTGGATACATTGTTGAAAAGGATCATAGAGTGGATATGAATACTACAGTATTTTGATCAGTATCATTTTGGCAACAGTTTAATTTGACAAAACAACATATTTTTGAAAAAAGTGGCATTGACCATTGAGAAGCTCCAAATGGTTTTGCATGTCTACTTTCCAATGCACCTCCAACCCAAAGAAAAACACCACGAACATTCTAGAATGTAATACCGAATTAAGAGTAAAAAGAATTGTAGTTTCCTTTGTTTAGTCTTTATGAAAATAATGTCTTTCTAAAATATGAGTGATTTTTTTCATTTTTCATACAGGGAGGTGAGCATGGAGCTGTTTTAACAATGACATTGAATGACATGGGAAACTATGGATGTTATCCAGATTGTGCAGAGGGAATGTCAATGCCATTATATGCTGAGGCTATGGTAAATTTAATGACAAAGCAGCCAATGAGTTCATTTCTTGCTCACAGTAAGTTGAGGATTGGTCTAAGCAGCTACCTTCATTGTAGTTGGAGTCCCCATCTTCTGACATTGTCAATACATAATTTCCATATTCAGTTTATCAAATTGAGAAATAGAAGCATACAGGTATTTTATTTCTATAACTTACAAGCTCATTCTATTTGTGGTAACAGCCTTAGGATCAATCATTGTCATCGAATTTGTTATCATGTTCTCTCTTGGAGTGTTGCTTTTGTACTTCACCTGTAAATGTGCAATTCTTCTTGCACATGAAAGAAGAAACTGCAAGAAAAAGTCGTCAGAGCTATCAACTGTTCCAAGTTCCGATAAAGAAACTGTGAGTGTGCATAGAAGATGAATTACCCTTTACACATGTTTCAAATTTTTTGGTGCTCAAAGGAAATTTTCATGTTAAAAGAACAGTTCAGTTGTATTGCCACAGATACATCTTCCTGCATGCCAAAATGATCCATTCCCATATAATACACACAATTTCCACTTGACATAAATCTATTTCTCCATATTATTTTCCTGATAATGCACAATTTGACTCCATCTAATATATCTTTGCTTTTATTACAATTCCTTGCAGTCAAGTGTAAACATATCTGAGAATGCTACTCATTTCACTGGTTGTTGTTCAAGTCCTTCCTTGCTTTGTTTTGGTATGCAATCCTCCAACTTTCGACAACGGTGAGTAGTTTGATTGAGTATGCTGCAGAATTGTTTCGGTTTCTGTGAGATTTTGAGGACAACTATTTTGACCACAAATGAATACAAAATGAGAAAATAAGAAGTCTCAAGAAACATTGATGGGCAAACTTAACTAATCAAGTTTGAGCATATGACGCTATAAGCAATGCAGTTATATAATGCTTGTAGATATGGGCTAAGCACCCCTAGTGCTTAATTAATGAAACTTTTGTGCTTATTGAAAAAATTAAAAACAGAAATGGACAAGTTAAGTAGAAAATAGCTTATGATTTGATTATAGAATTGGTGTTTTGTGTTCTACCGGGGGATAGTTAGCTTATTTTCCCTACTACTAAACTGAGCTTACTCCTTAACTTTACATTGATTGCTTCACTAACAACTTCAAAGTCCAAAATTTTAGGTTTCGTCCTCTATTTCAAGTTGGAGAATCAAGCACGGCAATAAACCAAACCTCTCCTTCAACAAGTGAAAACCAGCCTACAACTGTGCCTACCTCGAGCACCTCTTGCCTTTGAGATTGCATTAAACTCAAAACATTTAAGCCTTTTCAGTTGACCAAACTGAAAGATGCCTGCATTAATGTACAGCAAAAATTCAATTTTTATGCCCCGTGTATGGTTTTAATTGGATTTGTGTCTTTACTAATTACATATAAACTTCTGAAGATCAAAGTAACTGTGCTTTCTTAGTGGGATATAAAATATGGCAAACGGTTACTTTGTTAAATGGCCCATTCTTGCTGAACAATGCGACTTCAGAAAAACGTTTATAACATTACTGTCAGGTAAAAGTTTATTAAAAATCACAAAATAATTATTAATCCCACTTTATGTTTAGAGTTGGGATCCATTAACACTGTATTAAACTACTTACAACATTTATAAGTTGTAACTACATCACTGTTCACATTACTGTAATATAAAACTACTTGAATTACTTCTTAGTCATATTTATCATTTACGCTATCGTAATTAACGTTTTTAAAATTGAATAGATAATTGAGCCAATAAAAGTATTGAATAAGATAAAACATGTGAATACAATTTAAATAGCTTTTAATTTTTTTTAACCTATATGTTTTCTATATTTGTTTAATCCGAAAAAAAAAAACAGTATGCAGATCCATAAAAGATATCGCCATCGCTGTAATTAAAAAGCAAACGTACTACAAACATGTTTATTAAAAGGACAAAAGTACAATTCCTTAAATATTTTTAACGTTACATTTCAACTAAAATTAGAATTTTTCCTCAATAAAAAATCTATATTAACAAAATTAAATTCAAATTTTGAATAAAAAAAATACCTAAGAAAATATAAGTAAATTGTCCCTATTTAAAATGTGAAAGATTGTAAATGAGATTTAAAAAAAAAACCCTTGAAAATAAGAAAATATTTTCAAAAATAAACAGACCCTAAGAAATCTGGTGCATGTATGGAAAAAAGAAAGTTTTTTTTTTTTTTTAATAAAAAGGAATAATTTATTTTCTCAAAAACTCTTCAGAGAAGTTAAAAAAATCTCAAAATAAGTTAATCCTTAAATTCGTCTCCAAACCAAGAACTAGTTTACATGACATAAAATATACAAGCTCAAGAATGCCCTGCAAAGAGTTTGTATGGCAGTGGAATTAATACATGGAGGACTGAATACAGCATCATAATCACAAGACACTTCCCATTGCTGTCAACTTCTTTCACCACAATATGGCTTTAACCAGATTTAAAGAGTAAAACCGCTTTCTGATCCAAATAGAAATAGACGAAGTGGTCTGTTTCATGAGTCACATATGAGCCTGCAAAAAGATAGAAAAGTTTATAAATGCACTTCAAATACAACTAACCTAAGCAAAAACAAGGAATTTTGTCTTCATTTGCATTAATTGTCTGAATTTCATTGAAAATGGAATAATATGACAAGAGATTTGGTAAATAATCCGGTTAGGTTGTGCCACACAAAGTGACATTGAAAGTACATTTAAAACCCCATGAGATCCGGAATTCTAAACCACACCATCAAGAACATATAAGATGTAGGGTAGTTTGGTGAATAGGGTAAGACAATTGTTCCCATTCTATCCTATTTTTGACATTATGTTGAAAAAACAGGACCTGATAAATCTATCTATATGGTTTCCTCTAATGTAAATTTTATCTCGTGAGAGGCCTGAATTAGAAATAGCCATGACAGGATTACACAATATATCCAGTTTATATTTTGGCATGCATGAAACGTAAAATAAGACGAGTCTATCATGCTCTTATCCTGTCTTAATTTTATTCAACTATCCTATCCTATGGGTTCCTATCTTACCACCAATAGGCTTAGTGACAAGAAAATGTCATAAAAAAATCATAACTAAGCCAATAACAGTAACCAAAATTCAATTTTGATACACACAAGTTTCAATTTCTACTTTCTGTATTGGCCATCCAGATCCAGACATCTTGTAAGCATAATCTCATAAAAGAAATAACCAGGATCATTTAGTCAATGACAAGAAAATAATCTTCTTAAGGAGCATATCAAAACATATATATCGTAACTCAATTTTAAGCTATGACCTAAATAAAAATGTGTTGGCCAAAATGTATAAATACAACATGGGACATGAAATGATATGATACTAAATAAGACATATTTTAAAAATTACAATAAAATTAGTATCAAATTAACATAAAACACAATTTTTAAATCAAGAGAGAAAATAAATGTTTTAAAAGTTAAAACAAATTACTGATCATTTAATTTAAGCATTGTGGTATTTCCATCTGTATCGGTATAAAAAGAAAATTTTTTATAATGTAAAATGCAGCTAGGAGTATCTTAAGTGTATATGAAATGTTCACAAGATACACATTTGACACAGGTACGGCTACTATTTTCAAGTGTTAGTGCTTCCTTTTGCATGTGTCTTTTCCCTTCTTTTTCCAAGTGTGTTTGTCTGTCTCACATTTCTGTATAAGTGGAGCACTTTTATGTTTGAAAGCTCAAAATATGCCTAAATTCTTCTTTTATTCTGCTCAAAACCTTAAAGCTTTATCATACTCATATCAACTACAACTACTTTACTAAACAAACAAAATTTTACAAGTTTCATTAACTTGAAACATAATACTGCACATTCACCCAATACATTCAAGCAAAAATTTCTCAGATTATTCACCGTGAAAATATTAAAATATTAATTGCACTGGATAACAATCAAGAGTCAAGAAAGAGCATTAATTGCAAATTCTTTTTTGATCGTCAATAGGTTCTTGTTAACTAGAAGTAGGTTTTAGAATGGAGCAATGACATTAGGATTTCCACAATGAAAGACAGACACCTTTTGTGGGGAAGAGGATATATTGCAAATAGCCCTTTCATGTACCAAAAAACAATAAATGGACCTTTGCCCAAGAGTATTAAGTTGACAAGATAATTCATTATCAATTTTAGGAGATTGAAATCACAGGATACTAACACAAAACATCAAACAACTTGAGCATTTATGCCTATATCAACATGCAAGTATAAAGTAGTCTATGTTATGTTCAACCATTTGTCATCCAGTAACCAAGTTCAAGAAAAGACTTTTTAAACCCATAAAGAAGAAAGAAGATCATTCACTACAACTTAGGTGGTAGAATCAAAAAGTTTGGTTTGGGGCATAGTTGAACAAAATATCTGTCACCAATCAATATAATACATAAGCAATGGTGACTCATCCACATGAACAAAACCAACTAAACTACATATTCATATACCATTCACCTTATACATTTTCTCCTGGAGAATAGAGATAGACAGAAAGTAAATGTCCTGTTTGAAGGAGCTTATGAAAACTTATAGAAATAACTAATGACTCTCATAAGTTCAATTTAGCTTATTTCAATATACTTCTTTACATACTTATCAAAATAAGTTATTTTCAGCTTATCTCAATAAGTTTCATGGTTAAATTTATCAAATAAGCCACCATATAAAAAATTCATTGAATAAGCACTTATTTAAATTGTTTTCCAAACGCACCCTAAATCTTATGCCATTGATATAGAATTAACTGAATAAGAATAAACACGGCTTGACTGTTTAAGAACCACATGCAGCCAACAACAACAGTAACAAAACTGAGGTTACAAACATTACTTCTAAATTCCAAGAACACACTTTTAGAAGCAAACAAGGACTAAATTACACAATCTTAGATTTATTCACTTTCTATCACATGCTCCATACTACCAACTAAGAAGAAATCATCAACAATAGCACAGAGCCACAATTCCGAGTAAACCAAACAAGTAAAATCATTGACAACTGCAAAAAAAATAATAAAAAATACAAAAAAGTAATTACCAAAATTACGACCAACGATGCAATGCCAAGTGGGGCCATGCCTCTTATCGAACTCCTTCTTTATCTGTTCTGCAACATCTTTCTCCACATTGTACTTCTCAAACGCCTAATTAATCAGCAAAAAGGTCAAGGCTTTATGATTCAACAAGGCAAAAACAACCAAACCCAGAAACAGAATCCAAAACAAACATAAAGAGAGAGAGAGAGAGAAGAAAGTTCTGGGAACTAACAGTGACGGCGATATCAACGGCCTCCTTCTGCATGTCGGGGATCATATCGGCGCTCTTGATGATGACCTTCTTGGGGGGAACTGGAGGCGCAGGTGACGGTAAAGGTAACGGTTTCCGGTCATCGGAATTGGGCCTCGGCGTCGGAGCTCCGGCAATGTTCTTCTTAGTGTCTTCGCTCATTTTTTTTATTTATTTACTTAAATTATTTTTATGAAAGCGACAAGAGAGGGTTTCTGTCTTGTGTAACAAACAAGAGGCTGAGGTGAAGGAAGAGTACAACCAGTAATGGTTGCTATGCTAGAAAATACAGAAATAAAGGTTGTGCACTGTTTTGGAATACGATGCTTTATGGGAAAAAGTAAATAATTTAAGTATTTTATTAAAAAAACAAACTAGTGGGACTTTGATAAATAAATAAATATATATATATATATATATATATTAATTGAATTTAACCTTTTCAAAATTAAAAATTAAAAATAAAAAAATATTAAATTTAAATTTTTATTATATTTAATTAAATTTTAAATAAAAATTTACTTTTGATTTTATATATTTTTATTTTAAAAGAGTTAAACATATATTAATTAATAATAAAGTGTAGAGAAAGGACAATGACTATGCTTGCTGTGCTGGCTGAGAATACTTGCACGCAAGAAATTTGGCGGAGGACTATTGGCTGATGCTTGTGAGCGTGTACTTGGTAAGAATATGGTCAAGCGTAATACTCTATTCCAATGATAGATAAAATAAGAAAAAAAAAAATGAAAAAAAAAAGTCTCATATTATTAATCTCATAAAACAATGTACTTTTCAAAATCTAAATTAAACATACTATTACAATAAAATAATTCTTTTTTATTAAAAAAATATTATTAAAAAAATATAAATTATTAATTTATTTAAATATTTAGACAAGATACTAATGAATGTGAACATTATTAAAAAGGTGATCAATGGTTTTTAAAATTTTACATAATATGAGACAGAAAATATTCAAATGCACTAGTTCATGTTATTCATTTTTGTTTTCTAAGAGTTGTTCATGTCATTCATATTCAGTTATTACCAGATTAATTAATCTTTCCAACTATGTTTAGCTTCTAATGTACTATTCGTTCACTCTACTACTCGTTCCTCATCACAACTGTAACTGAAAAAGTTAAAAACGAAAAGAAACAAACCAGAACAATGGCATCCCTCTCCTTTGATGTTTATTTCTCATTTTCTTTCATGAATCTGCTTCATTCCCTCAATTACTTCATACCCATTATTTCTAATGTCTGAAAGCCTAAAACTTTATATATTTATTTACTTTCTCATATAACTGCCATTCCTATTTTTTTTCTCTAAATGTACCTTCTGCATTACTTATATTACATTGTTTTCCCTAGCTTAAAGCGAAGTTTTGATCAAGCTTCTCAGAGAGAGATGTCATGACAATTGTAATTACAGGTATTGCAAAGAGCTTCTCGAGTATGCGGTTTCTTTTTGGTAGTTTGAGTAGGATTTGATGAAGAAAGCAGTAAAAAGGTTTTGCAGTAGAAAATTGAAATGATAAAAAATTTTCAGAACCTGATTTATTCAAGGGAAAACTGTTTGTTTCTCTAGGAGAGAAGATAGGTGCACTAACATCAACCACCCACTAGATGTTTGATAGGATTAGCTATTTTTTTATTCAAAACAACATGTAATCATAATCTTAGAGAACCTAAAAAAAGAATTCCTCACAATTTAGTCAAAACCAAATACAGCATAGGTAAGGTTGGCTGTATGAATCATTGATCTATGACAAGGTCTAAAAGGGAAGAAGATACATGGCCAAGTGAATCATTTCAATTAAGCAAAGGATATTTCAATGAGCCGGTCAACATCTTAAACAACAGTCAATCAACATTAAGTTCATTCTAATTAAAAATTTATCCTTTGTTAAAGTGAAGCAACATAAGATTTGTTAATAACCTCAAAATTAATCATTGACGTTCTTTGTTTAAAGATTAAAATTTACTTGACAGGCGAAACAATTGGCTAAGATTCTTATTTGAATGTTATAAATATAAAGTTCGATTGATAAATAATATTTTTAAGAATTTAATTTTTAATCGAATATAATTAATTGCACTGTGTGATACATGTAACTAATTATATCTAATAAAATAAATCTTGGTTTTTGCAGATGATAAGTGCAAGGCTCTTCCTAATCTTAATTGAAGAATTGTAATGAGAAGGTTAGAAGCATGTCGGTGACACTGGTGAATTTCTTTTACTTATCCTAACCAAATTTAACCATATTGACCACAGTAGAGAACACAATATAAAGTTAATTTGTGTTGTCAATTTCATGGATCTATTTTTGTGTGTATGAATCAGAACAACTTGTCTTACTCCAAAAGAGCTTTTGATCATTTGGTTGTCACGGACATTGGCTTTCCACCTTAGAGGTTTGTCTCATCCATTATTTCAGTACACTTTTTTCTCCAAGACTTTGTTCTAACTCTGACTTTTGGAATTAGTATAATTTGGAAAGGTGTCAACTTTTGGGCTGACCCTAATGTATATGTATCCACTCAAGATTGAAGGAATGCTCAAAATTGTTTCAAGCCAACCTACTTGGCTGCAAGAGCTGGCAAGGGAATTCCACTACATTATCAATTTCATAATTAGAAAATGTTCTTTGGTCCCACGTCTGATCTATTTGTTGGATTATTGAACAGTTTTTTAACTACAAACAAAAATCTTATTAAGCATTGTCCTTATTAAAAATCAATAAATACATTTTTTTTTTGGTTAAAAATCATGTTTGAAATGCATTAAAAAAACATGAGAATGGGTATATTTTTGCATCTTCCTATAAAACAATTTTATTTTTTATTCTTCAGATACTGGTTAGCATTTTTTAAAAACAAAAGATAGATATTTCATAAAGATAATTATTTAATTCCAAGATCTATTTCAACAACATAATACACCTGCATACCCAGAAAACTAGGATCTTCTAGTAGAATTTGTCACAAATATATGCTTGCTACTTTCATTCTACCCTATATTATTGATAATATAGGCTGAAACTGTCAACTTTTTATTCAGTCATTGCTTTGTACTCTTGGTCAATTAGAATTGAATTGTCAAAATCCTTGTGAAAACAAGCTTTAATCTGTCTTATTAAGTATTGAGTCCGTTAATTAGTCAATGCCTTTTATTAATAGTGTCGCTCGTTAATTTACATCTTGGTGATTCATGTTAACAAGCTGAGTTCATAAGGAGTGTATGGTCAAGGAGCAATACCAAAACGAATTATATTACTCCCTCATTCTATTTATAAAATTAACTATCATAATTTTATTTCTAAAATATAAGAAATAAGAAATTATTTTAAATACATTAATTGTTAAACATTTTCTATATCCTCATTAATTGTGAAATTTGTATTAATAAAGCATTCACTCGCTGTTAACTAATTCATTTAATAAATGAGTTACTAATTGATTAATTATTATCCTGAATATGGAATACATTATAAATTTATGACATATCAGTATATTTTTATTAATTTTAATGAACTGTTTTTTTAATAAAAAGAATGAATTCTAAATGTTGAAGATCAGGGCCTAAATGAGGGGTTAGAAAAGAGCTTAATAATGCATAATGAGGGAATAAAAATGAATGGATAAAACTCAGATCAAAATTTTTTATATCTTGGTCATTAATTTTCAAATTAAATAATAATATGTAAAGGGAAAATATTGGGAGGCCAACAATTCAGACATATAAAAGGAAGGTAATAAGTTTGCATATTTGGACTCTAATTTGGGGTGCAATTATGAGCCTATACTTATACTTATGAATCAACTTAAGCCTTCTTTTATTGTTGACCACAAAAAAGCAGCATTGTTTTAACTGATGCATAAAGAGTTTAAATGGGGATATATAGCATTAATAGGACAATGCACCAGCAATAATATACCCCACTTATATTGTGGTGGAGTTATTCTTAATCACAAATTTTGGTTTGTTTTGCATATTTAGAAAAAATTTCCCCTTCTTTTTTGGTAGGTATACCATACCAATATTAGAACAATCAATCATAAGAGGGCTGCCCTTGAAAACACCCAATCCATCTCTACTCCATCAAATAATTTTCGGTACAAAAAATTATTTTTTTATATATGCTTTTTCATCTTTTTCTTCTTTTATCATATTTTTTATATATTTTTTTTATTTTTCTCTTTTCATACGTCTCAAATAAGATGTGAAACTACATGAGTTTAATTTAAATACATTGATGGTGTAAAAAAATTTATATTATTATTTAATTATAAATTACTGTGGCTTGTAAAAATTGTTAATTTTGTTGATAATTAATATAAAAATTATATTCACAATATATTTAAATTTATTATTAGTGCTAAAGTACATTTTTGGAACAAAAAATATGTTTGAATTGTGTATAATTCTGGTCTTTCAAAATTTTTTAATTAATTAAGTTTTTTACTTTTAAAATTATGGAAATATGGTTCTTCTATTGATTCTGTTCTACTTAAAATTCTTATTTTTTTATTCAAAATTTTTAAATAATTTTAATAAAAATAGAAAATGAAATTATTTTAAAAGTTTAAAAGTAAAAAACAAATTGTAAAATATGAAAAACTTTGAGATGTGAGATTAAGATTTGAAGAGAAAAAAATTACAAGTTTGATAAAATATGATATTTTGGTTTAAAAAAGAATTTAGTAAAAAATTAATCGATTTAAAATGTAAAATATTTTAGTAAAAAAATAAAAATTTAGTAGTTTTAAATAGAAAAAATTTAACAAGAGACTACTTTTGTTTTAAAAATACAATGATTTATTAATAAAAATATAAATTTGTGAAATCCTTGAAAAGTCAAAAATTAAATGATAAGAATTTTTGTGAAATCTTCCTGATTGAAACAAATAACACTTATTTTAGACGTAATTTTTTAAATAATAAGTTAAATTGCATTGCTGAGTTAAGTAACAAAATAATAATAATAATAATAAACGAATGCTATTACTTGAAATAATGAAACTTATTTTTATTAAATTAAATTTAATAAAATTTTTAAAAAAAAGTAACAACACTCATTTTCTATCAATGTTTTTATTTTATGAAATTGCAACTTTCAACTATATATATATATATAAACTTGAACAATGTAGATCATTTAGATTTTACTCATTTTTATATATTTTTGATAATTTGTTTTTAAAATTTGCATTTATTAAGTTAATCACCCCATGTATTTTAATTATTAATTTTGAAGTTTTGACGTCAACTAATTTATTTACGGATATTTTGGTTAACAGTTTCAATTTGTGTCCAGCTATATATGTAAGGAATTATTTGCACTTCTCTCTCGCTCTTCTTTTTCTTGCTACATAAATACACCCGAAAAAAGGAAATTCGAAACCACCTATTCAGAATCTTGCATCTTGGTCTGCAAAGTATCATGCCAGAACCGAGTTTCTTTGTTGGAGTGATAGGTAAACATATAACATATGCATCACATACCCTTCAGTGTTCCTTGTTTCACGGTTTCAGTTTCACCTAATTGGTATCTAGCTGATCTTGATTAATGCCCAAAAAAGGGTGTTAATTTCGTAAATGCCTTTTCTTTGTTTGCTGCAGGTAACATCATCTCAATTCTCATGTTTCTTTCTCCTGTGTGAGCTCTCCTAATCCTAAACCATTCTATTCCTTTGTTATTGTCTAAGGAAAATAGTTTACTTAATCATATAAAATATAAGTAATTCATATTGCTGATGGATGATATATATAAATATACAATGCAGACCCACGTTTTGGCGAATAATGAAGCACAAATCTACCGAAGATTTCTCCAGCATTCCTTACATTTGCACATTGCTTAATTGTTCTCTTTGGACTTACTATGGAATCATAAAGGCTGGAGAATACCTCGTGGCCACTGTTAATGGCTTTGGCATCGTGGTGCAGACAATCTACATTATTCTATTTCTTATATATGCTCCAAAAGGGATAAGGGTATATATATATATAAACTAGCTTCTAATTCGCCAAAATTGAAAATTTCTTTTACTACTTTTACTATGTTAAGTGGTGATGTACTAATTTGAATGCAACTTCAGGCCAAGACTTCAATTCTCTTCGGGATTGTGGATGTGGGAATCTTGGCAGTAGCAGTGATTGTTACTCAGTTAACATTGCACGCAGAGGCTCGTAGTGGTGCTGTCGGTATTATGGGTGCAGGCTTAAACATTGTTATGTATTCTTCACCTCTTTCTATCATGGTAAGCTTCACCAGTCCTAGTTTTCTATCATTCATTTTTGCCCGTTCTCTTTACAGTGTGAAAACTTCATCTCTATTCTCTCACTATATTTACAATTGGATTTACAGATAGATTGTAATATCCATAGTTTTTCTCACTGGATACAATATGATAACATATTATTGACAGAGACCTTATGGCCTTTTCGAAAATCCCAATATCACTTATTCATGTTCTAAGGCAACCAGGGGGGAGGGGGAGGGGGGCACTCACTCCTCAAAATTGTAAGAACTAAGTATTTTAATTAGATGTAAAAAATTATTGGTTAGGCCCTAAGTTTACAAATAACATTTATTTTAATATAAGTAATAAGAAGAAAAAATTAAAAATATAAATTAAAATATATAACTTTTATAATATCATAGACTAACACGAATTTACTCATTGATTATTTGAGGGGCCTAGAGATGCTTTGAAAGGTCACACATGCCTATAAATCAAAACATTTTCTTCACGTGGTATGATTTAAAATGGAAAAGTAATCAAATTTTGAGTTTTTCTCTCTTACTTTTTCATAAAGAAAGTTTATAAATGTATGGTCCAAAAAATAATTGATGTGAAAATATCTATTCTCGCGATCAATATACAGTTGCACTAAATAAATATCAGCCAAAAGAAAGCAATAAACTGATGAAACAAAAAAATGCAGTACTTTGTTGTTGTTGTTGCATATATGGTAGGTATATTCGTAAATTTCTTCCATATTTGGGTGGTCGAATTCAATTATTTAAATGAAATAGTTGGATCCTATTGAGTTTTGAAGCAACGTTTGAACCAACCCCAAATATGTGGCTATCCTCCTTCTACGCAGCATTTCAAACTTTATGGCACTGAAATACTGTCCCACATAGGGCACTGTCTTCCTCAAGTATATGTTTTCTCATGAGATGACATGTTTCACAGAGGGTCTCACACACTCTCATGTTGTCGAATTAAATTCAGCACGTGCTTAAAATGAATCAGTATTCATGTACGTCTAAAATACTAAAAACAAAAATGAAAATAACTCCATTTTTTGACCCCCCGTTAAAGATCTAAATATTGGGATGCAAGAAATTGAAAGAAAAATAAAAGGGAGAGTAAATTTTTTTATTTTAAGAAAATATTTCTATTTAAAATATCACGCATATTTTAAAATAAAAAGTTATTTATTTTTACACATTTAAAACTCTCAAGTAAAAATAAAGTATTTAACAGTCTCTTTCTTTTTCCCTTCTAATCCCCACCATGCAAACATGCATCCCCTGAGCCTGTGGTTCTAATGTGAACACCTATATATCATTGTTAGGTTGACAAAATGTGTCGAATTGTCCATATACATGCAAGCTGACATGATATGATTGTCAATGATTTTCCGAATGCATACACGTTGATGCATGAAACGAATTTTTATTTATTTTTAAATTATGAATGTACTAAGTATTATAAGATATTGTGTGAATAAAGTTTCTTTGCTTATAAAAAATTGTGTATATTGTGTTGGAGGAGGCTCCTATGTACCATTTTTTTCTGTTGCAAGTTGAGGTTCCATCCTTTTCACTCGTCTTATATGCTCTTAATTTTCAGAAAACAGTGGTGACAACAAAGAGTGTGGAGTATATGCCATTCTTCCTTTCGTTTTTCTTCTTTGTAAACGGTGGCGTTTGGCTGTTGTACGCTGTTCTTGTTCGTGATGTTATCCTTGCGGTAATTCTGCATTGATTCTGCTCTCATTCCTCTCATATCAATTTAATTAAATATTAAATATATTAAAATAGTGTAGATAGTTAAATCAGTATATTTAAATGGATTAAGAGTATGAAAACTTTTACTTACTAACAATATCTTAAAATTAAACTTTTATTAACGTCTATTTTTCTTGATGAAAAAATTGTATGTGTTTATACAACTATATATTTATATATATGAATAATGAAAATTAAAAATTATTTAATAATCAAGTAATTAATTTTAATGGTAAATAACATTTTTCTCCCTTAAATATGCATATATTACACTACCTTTTTTTCTATTTTAAAATTATATAGCTCTCTCTCCTAAAAAAATTAAAATATATCATAATTTAAATTATTTTAAATTTTTTGTTAAACATTGTTCAACATATGTTTAATATTTTTTATAAAAATATTTTTTTAATAAAGTTTACATTTTTTGTCAATATTTTAGGAAGTTCAACGAATAAAAATTTGTCATTGTTATAAGAGTTTTAAAGATTTGACTTGACATCAAATAATTAAAAAAAATCATCACATTTAATGAAAATATACGATATATAAATTATTTATAACTTTAACACATTCAAAGAAAGAGATAGAGTGTAAAAACATTACAGAATTAGGACATAATTTAATAAAAATTATACCATAGTTTCTTTTCTAACAGTATTTTAACAAAAAGTTTAAAATAGATTAAATTATAATGCATTTTAATTTTTTGAGAGAATTATAATTTGTTAAACTAAAAGAGAGGATAGTATAATATATACATCTTTTAAGATTTAAGATAGAAAAATATAATTTATTCTAATTTTAAATTACGTAGCTTGATATTTTAATCTTATTTTATTACTAAATCTAATAGTTAAAATCTATTCTTCTTACCTCTCATACTAAAAACTCTTCTCAATATTTAATGTTAATTACAGATAAAAATTTACAACAAATAAAATTTGTTAAAGTCAGAGAGACTAATTAGAATAGAATAGTAAATATTAAAGAGGAAATATACTCCTTTGGTATAAAAAGTGTATACTGGGAAACATGAGAGTTTGTAATAGTATACTTGAAAAAGATAACATTAATGTTGGTCTTTTCTCCCTAAAACACTGATGAATGTTGTGTACCACAAACAAAAAGGTACCAAACGGTAGTGGATTTTTACTGGGAGCAATGCAACTGGGGCTGTATGGGATCTACAGAAAAGGAAAGCATATCTCAAATATTGGATTGGAAGAAGGATTGCAACATCAGCATCTCATCTCACAGTCAAATCATGAGAGGCTAGCCAGACCCATCTAGTTTGTCTTTTTAAGTGTTAAAGCTTATATATGTGGACCTAAAAAAAGCTACATATTGCTCCACCATTAATGTCTCAGCTCCTTTGCCACATTATTGCTTGATATTTTCAACAAAGAAAAATAATTAAGTGTTTCAAATATTCATCAGACTTGTTCTTCGTTCCTTTTTGAATCTGATTGGTTTTGTTTGAATGGAATCAATAATGAATTATGTATGTATGCATCGATCATATAATAGTATAAAAGTTCTTTCACCATTTCTATCGCCTGGTGAATTTTCAGTTTTTATATCCTTTCGACTTTAAAAAGAAAAAACAACAATCAAAGTGTGTATACTTATTTTGATAAAATAAAATAAAAACAAGATAAATATATAGTATACAAAAATAACCAAGATAATTATGTTGATAATTAAGATTGCAAGGGTGCATGGATTTGAACCAGACAAAGCCCCCTGCGTAATGGATCATCCTTTGAACAATTTAAAAAATAATAATTTATTTGTATTTCATCAAAAATATATTTTATTTTATTTATACGAATATTATTAGCGTAAGATGATTGAAGAATTTTACAAAATACATATATGAAATGACATTCTAAACACTTTTTTTTCTTGGTATAAGATGTGTTTAAGTATAAGTTATCAAAATATAATTAAGATTAAGTTAAAAAATATATAATAATCTTGAATTTTAATTATCACGAAAAAATTATTCACTAATAAATTAATGTTGAATTATCTTTCATTATTATAATTTTTAACAAAATGTTGATTTGTTAGTATAAATATTTTCAGCTTGTACTAACACAATACTATACTAACAAATAATTTTATTAATATGAAATATTAATATACATCATAAATACAAAAGTGTTAATATAGTGTAGCATTATTTATTAGGATAAACCTTCAAATTCTTTATCAATAGTTTAATTTTTGGTAAACAGTTTATACTAAAAACAATTATGCTAACTCCGAATAAATAATGGTAATAAGGATAAATTTTTGTAGTATATCTGGCTAAGAAAGTTATCTTAAATAGGAACGCAATATATCAAAATTTAAATTAAATTACAAATAATATTTAAATATAATATAAAATTTATAAGTAAAGTACATGCTACATCACGACTTATACTTTTTTTATTTTCTTATTAAATTGACCAAACTTTATGGGCCTGAGCCCAATCTTTAATAGGTTATTTAAACATAAGCTGAAGGCCCAACGACTCTATTGCCTCCCATCATCCCCTCCAAGGCTCAAACGCCTCCATTGGAAAGTCCATTACAGGTATATTCTGAAATATTTTGTAGAGATTTAAATACTTATTATGTTATATATTTGTAAATGTATTTTAAAAATTTAAGAGTCCTTTTAAACAAAAATGTTTTTAATTGTTAATTTTATTTCTCAGTATGTCAGATGACTCTTTATATATTGGATATTTAATTTTTTAATTTAAATTTAAATTATATATTTTAAAATTTTTATAATTCATTTTTAGTTTAAAATTATATATATTATGATAAGTTTTAAGTGAAAGAAGTCATGCCTACATATAATTTGAGGATGTGTGAACTAAACTTTTTCCTACATTGCACAAATATGATTATTAGTAAAGAATAATAGATAATTAGTTATCAAATAGTCACAAAAATATGAAATATAAATGACAATCAAATGTTTATGCTACATTTTATGTAATTTAATTAACTTGATTGCGGTGAGTAAACCACCTGATTTGCGTGTGATAAAATGTAAAATGGTAATTATCTCAGTTAAATTTAGACATTTGAACTGTGATTATAGAAACACAGTGCAAGGCCAAGACTTCACGTCTATCAATTTCACATAGATGTTGTAAGGGCAAGAAAAAGGAAAAGGATATGGATGTTGCAGATATGGGTGCATTGATTGGTGGAAGAGTTGATCTTCATGCAATTATTAAGGATTTTTTGTTGTTACCTTTCACTTAATAATGCAAAATTTGTTCTGGCATATCACATAAGTGAGGTCAATTTGTTATACCATAATTATCATCATATGAGATGAATAAACCACACTTCATTGTGATGATATGATGACGATATCCTTGCATTCATCCTTGGTAAAAGGATTTTTTCAATATTTAAATGTATTTTTATTTTTAAAAATTAAATAAATTTTTAATTTTAACCATTATAAATATTCACATGCTTACAATTGTTAATTTTTTAATATATAATTTTGTTTTATTTTGATCATTTAATTTGTTTTGTTTTAATCTTCTAATCTTTAAAAATATTTTATACAACTCATTTTTTTTTTTTATCAAAAACATTAATTGTTTAATTTTTTCTTATAGCTTTTTTCTTTTTATGTTTCCTTTTAAATTTTTTTTCAATATTCGTCATTTATGTTTCTACAGCCTCAATTCAAACTCTTAACAAACATATAACCCATTTTGACAAGCTTTTCAATTAAGTATTTAACGTGTAAAAGAAGGTAAAAAGTAAGGCAATGACATTGACAACGGATTTAAGGTTATAGGAGAAGGTGGCAACAAGCTGAAGAATGCAAATTGAGTGCAATAAATATGGCAATTGCAGCAGAAATAACAATAGTAAGAATAAATAAGATCCTAATGAACACATATATGGAGACAAAGTCTAAACGCTATTGCTATTGCCTTGCTTCCCTTCTTTCATGATCCCAATGTCTAATTTTTTTAAAATTGTTTTTGTCCGAGTTAAAAAAAATAAATTACAAATTTTTAATGGAATTTATATTTTAGTAAAAAAAATGACTTATTTAAAACAATTAAAAAAATAAAATGACCAAAAAAAGAGAAAGTAAATGAAACAAAAGTAAAAAAATAAAAGATTAATACAGTAATTTAATCTTTAAATTATTATTATTATTATTATTATAAGATTTGATTCCTCTTAAATGAGAAAAAGTCAATAATGAAAAATAATTATTTTAATACAATTATATTTACAAATTATTTTAATTTAAATCTAGATAAAATTTTACTTTATCACTCTACATATTTTTTAGTCTATGAAATTTTTATAAAATTTAAGAAACATTTATTATTTCTTTTACACATTTTTTCTTAATTGTTGAAATGTTCTAATATTTTAACAATTAATGTAATGACAGAGTTTAATATTAAGTAAAGATAAAACTATAATATTATAATTAATATTTAAAAATTAATTATCAAATATTTTTAATAACATTTTAAATATGAAAATTTTGATTAACTTTTTTATAAAAATATCAAAAGGAGGACTATAAATTCGTCAATCTTGATTTATACATAAAACATAATACTTTTTCAGGTTAGTTTAACGAGACATGATTAAAAAATAATAAAATAATAAATATATTATTCATGTATAATACATTTTAGTGTTATAAATTTATTTTATTTTTTGAATATTTTTTATTTATATTAACATTTATATATACAAAATTGATAATATGTATTAAAAATTATTAAAATATTTATATTATTTAAATAATTCAAGATTAAAGGAATTATTATTAAATAACAAAGTAAAAAAATAATTATTAATTATAATAAAATAATGAAGTAATTTAATTTATATAATTATTAAAAACAAATAAATAAGAACGAAGATAACATTAATTAATAGCTGGAAGATATAGAAACTTGGAAGTCATGAGGGTCTGGCTTTTGCTTGTACTTAGTTTATACATTTACAAGTCAGTATTCAACGTGCTCTTTGGGGAGTCTACACTCACTTCACCACCCACGTCTCTCTCTCTACATGGAAGGAATGAAAGGCAATGAAGTGGGTGATGGAATGGAAATGCAATGCATGAATCATCCTCACAGAAACAACCCTCAAGGAATCTGTGCCTTTTGTCTCAAAGACAAGCTTCGAAACCTTCTCTCCTCTTCTCTCCCTTTCCCCACTCTCTCTCCTTCTTCTTCCCCTTCTCCTTCTTCCATTGCACCACCACCTCTTCTCACTACCACTTCCCTCTCTGTTAGCAATCATAATCACTACTGCACGCCCTCACTCTTGCCAAACAAGAAGAACAACAAACCCTCTTCTTCTTCTTCAGCTGACACTATTTTCAAACGTAGCAAGTCCATTGCCACACCAAAGAACCACTTTATGGGCAATGAGGATTTTAGTCCCAGAAAAACAAACCGCTTTTGGTCCTTTCTCTACCTTTCTTATTCAGCAAAACCCTTTTCCTCTTCTTGCAGAAAGAAAATGAAAGCTAACCCGAGGATCTCAACTGGGAAACCAAGGGTCAATAGTTTGGGCTCTTCTATTGGGAAAAAGTGTGATATGGCTGAGGAAGAGTATGATAGTGATGGTTCTTCCTTGGAACGCAAGGTTTCGAGATCTAGATCTGTTGGGTGTGGTAGCAGGAGCTTCTCTGCTGATTTTTTCGAGAGAATCTCTTCTGGGCTTGGAGATTGCACTCTCAGGAGAGTAGAGTCTCAACGTCAACCGAACGAGCCCAAGGTAGATTTGAACCATGGCATGAAAGAGAGATTGAGGTGTGGTGGCATTTTTGGTGGCTTCATGATCACTTCTTCTTCTCCATCTTTTTCATCTGTTGATGATGGTAATGGGGAATCAACGGGTATGGAACTTTCCCATTGGAAGAGTAGGAATTGGGGTTGGGCATTTTCTAGTCCTATGAGAGTTTTGAGCAGCATAACCTCTTCTAAGGACAATAAAAAGGGTACGAACGTTATTAGAAATGCTTATGATAAGATCGCCACGCCAAACTTATCAGCTATTCCTTCCTTGCTCACAGTTAAAGGCTGAAAAGAGGTTATCATTTGGTTTATGCATATGCACCTTACGATGCTGTTCTTTTCTGTCTATTGCCTGTGTTTAACTTGTGGTTGAGATGAGCGATTATTTCTTTTCCCAATTCATAATGTAATGTTTCCTCTACCAATTATTTCTTTTTTTGTTTATTTTAGGATAGTGGCTTCATGTTTATAAATTTTAATCAGATTGGTGGGTGGTAGGACTATGTAATACTCTCTCAAAACCCTTCATGGCATTGTAATTCTTTGGAGCACCCATCTTGTAATTCAGTTCATACTTATGCTGGGGCAAAGTTCTGTGAATTTTGTTCGAGTTGAATTCTGTAGAATCATTATTCACATGCATTCACATGTTTGATAATGATATATTCCACTTGTACATGATTTGTGATTCATAATAATTTTTCAAAGTTTTTTTTTAACTTTTTGGTTAATAGTCAAATAGGGAAAATGGTTGGAGACGGAGTTTTAGTGGTCCCCTAGCTTGCATTCACATAAACAAGATCTTGCAGTCACTGTATGGAACATTTATTATAGGCCTTGGCCTGCAGCTTATGGCAGTTGTACAATTTTTTTAGACATCTTCTCTGTAGAAATCTATCTGCACAGCTGTATAGAAAAGCCAGCGGGTTCACGGTGATCCCGAGTGTGTAAAGAATGCAAGGAATTTGTAAATGAGTTAAATATTTCATATGATTTTTTTCTTTACTTTTCTTATCAAATTAACTATTTATTATATTTCTCTTTTTTTGTGCATTATATATAATTTATTATAAATATTTCTCTTTTGAGAATTATATGAAAAGGATTTGAATGTAACCAACACATGAGCTAGACTGGTTTCATCAAAAGCTTTTCTTTTATCAACTTCAATGGATAAATAGTAAATACTATGTTTTAAACGAAAGTAATTAAAGACTATTTTTAAAGAGAAATGTTTTTAAATATAATTTTCTATATCATGCTAGATAGTTTTTTTTTTTTTAAATAGTGATTTCAAATTTATTTTTTAAATTTACTTTTAATTTCATTTAAAATAATATAATAATTTTTGTTAATAATTATAAAATGTATTTCCTTTTAAGTTTATTAAATTTTACTACTGAAATATATTGATTTGTTTTACTATTTATAAATAACATCTCAAATAAATGTTGACTATTTTTACCACGGATTTTTCAATTAATTTTTACAAGTTATTTTCTTTATATGAAAATATTTTAAGAGTGTAATGTAACATTCTTTAAAAAATAAGAAAAAGTTTAATTAAAATAAGTGCAATATATTCATTGTTTAGTACAACAATTTAAAGATATTTATTAATTTACTTATATTTTCTGAAAAATGGGTGTGCAAGACAAGACTCGAGAGAGATCTCAAATCCTGTTAAATTGATACGGAAACAGTGATGTGGATTGATAATATATAACGAATATCTGGGAAGATAAGATGTAAGGAATTATGATGGAGACAGAAGCTTGATGAAGAAGTACACAAATTGAAGAAGAGAAAAGCTGCTTCAACCTTCAAGAACACACTCTTGTTATATAATTTGAATTCATATTCTTTTTCGTTACAGTCTATTTTTTAAAATAAATTTATTTAAATAGAAATAAAAATATTTTATAAAATTCACTTAAACAAATTATAAATTTACTTAAATCATTTAAGTAAATTTATTTAATTTTTTTATTTTTCATATTTATTTAAATAAATTTATTTTGTTTAAGTAAAATGAAATTGAACGTTTAGTTTATGTAATAAAGAGAAAGGATCTAGATCCTTTAAAAATAGTTAATTTTATTTTTAAATATTTCAATTTAAATTATATGTAATTTATTTTTTAATACTTTGTTTAATTTTAAAAAGTTATGTAATTTTTTATCAATTTTTATTTGTAAAAAATTAATGAGCAAAATAAGTATTTCGAACTTCGTCTTAAAATAAATACACCTTCCTAATATAATATAATGTTTCTACACAATTTTATTTTATTTAAATTAATTATCACATTTAGACAACGAAGTTTAGATATCTTTTTAAATTTAAATAGATAAAAATAGATATTTAAAAAAAATTGATTTTTTTATGGTCTACAAAGTTGGATGGTCTATAATTGTGTATTAAGTCTTCGTTTAATTTAACATTTAAGTAAAATTGGATAAAATTAAATTTAAAAGATTAAGAGAAACTACATTAAAGGGCATGCTTTCTTATATAAAAGTGTGAAAACTAAATTCTTAAGGGTAAAACAAATGGGGCCTAACTTGTCCTATTTTTCTGTAAAATTTCACGAAGTTGAGCTTCACCTGAAATATCTACCATTTCTCTCTTTTTCTCAATTTTTAAGTCTTAACAGATAATTTTTTATTGTTCAAATTTATATCACTTACAACTAGACATATATGAATTGAAATATTTATGAACTGTTTGAGTTCAATTTATTAAATATTTGGTTAAACAACGTTGAATTAAAGTTATATTTATTATTTAAACAAAATAAATTTAAACTTGAGAATAATAGTTTATATACACATGCATGCACCATTTTTTAAATTTCAAAATTTAAACTTGCCATATTATTTTATTTATATTTTTAGGAAATTTTTATATCAATAAAATTATATTTTATTATTTTATTTTACTTTTTAACATGAAAATATTTATTAAATAATAGATTAATAAATATAATTTTATTAAAATTTTATAAAAAAAGAAATTAATTAGTCAAACCCAAATTTTAAAAATATTAATTAAACTAAATTTAAACTCATTTAAATAAATCGGTCAAATATTTTTTTTTAATAAAACAAACTTAAACTTCAAATACTCAATTTAATTAAACTCATTTATACTCTGCTTACAGTTATTCATTTGATTTGAGTTTAGACCTTCTCTTTGTTTGTTTGGTCGGTACTTAGAGCTTTTATGAAATCAAAGCAGAATTGTTAGAGGGCCATTGGGCTCACTACATTTTAATGATATGTTTGCATACAACCCGATGCAAGCAACAAAGAAGTGTCGATTCAAAGTAAATTGAAATACTTTTGATGAAATTAGTTTATGTCTGAATTAATCTGAATTGTAGCCAAAAAACATAATCTGAATCACATTTTAAAAAAGTGTGTTTAGATTAAAAGGTATGAGAATTATTTTTCTTACTTAAAAATAAACAGGATTAACTCCTAACATAACTTGCTAATGATCTACCCTTGGTTTCAAGAGTTTCTCAAAACATCACAAAAAGAAAACCTATTATTCTCTCAACACTAGCTTAATCAAAAGTCACGTATTTCATCTAAATTTTATCTCGTTTGTCAAATCAACCAAGCCAAATCCGATTATTAATCGGCAAACGTTAATCAAACATTGCACTTTATCGATCTCCACACTCAACACGAATGATTGAACATAAAATGCATATATGATAAATAAATTGAGCATCACCATGCTCTAAAATCCACAACTCATTAGCTTTATAGTTGTAAAAGGGAAAAGACATAACCTTAAAACAAAAACCAAATCCATTATATTCCTTTGTTCACTGCTCATACATGATAAGGAGAAAAATGAAGATACGGTGGATCTAAGGGGATGATGATTTGACATTGTGATTCAAGAGCATTCTTCGGAGCTCCACCGGGTCAATCTCATGGGCCTGATTGATGGGCCTGTAGTAACCGGTGACTGGGTCTGGGGCCCAAGCCGAAGCAGCCTCCGAACCACTTTTGTTGACAACCTTTTCTTCGACCTTTCCCACCACCATCGATCCACCGCTACTCCCAATCCTATCCAATCCACCCCTCACCGAAACATCAGACACCGCTGCGTACCCTCGCCTGTAATATAATAACAATAATAATAATATAAAAAAATCGTGGGAAATTAATAGTTTTATATAAATAAATTATCAATTTGATTTTAAAATACAAAATAAAACAAACGTGGGAAATTGTTAGTTTTATATAAGCGTGTCATAGGAAAAAAGAATGTGTGACGTGTGACATATTGTTAAATGGCATGCAAGATGGAATGAGTTGAGAGGGAGCACTGCAACTGCATGAAGTTGGAACGAACCGATGAAGAGCGAAGGAAAGGACTCGTTTGGCTTGTGCGAAAGAGTGTGCCATGTTATACGGTTCAAACGTCGGTTTGCTGCTGCGAAAGCTGTTGGCCCCAAAACGCTTCCGCAGCAGCAGCAGCTACCTCTGCCCCCGCCTCTCAACTCTTTCTGTATATGCGAGGAGGCGCAAACACTGGCTACTCAGGTTAGGGTTTCTCACGCGTTTATATAAATTCAGATTTTGAGGATAGGTCCACGTCAGACAAAAAAAAGGGAAAAATAATACAATATTTCGTGCATTAAGTTTTCTTAAAAATTTGTTAATTTTTAAGTAATTAAAAATATTTAAGAAAATTATTTTGTAGTTACGTCTTTTTTTTTATAAAGAATACAGTATGTAATATGAAAAAAAAATTAAAACAAACAAAAAATTAAATAAACATTAATACTTTGCCGTGTTTATAAATTAAAAAAAATAACATTGTAAATAATTAGGGAGAGAGCTAATGTCTAACAAAAATGGGGCACCTTGTTGGTTTGGCTATTTGAAAAGTGAGCCGCAGCCCTACGCTCCATTGAGGAAAAGTCCATTGAGAGGTTGTTAGAATAAAGTTAGGTATTATCATATTTGAATAAAATTATTTGATCGTTACATATAATTAGGATATATATAATTTGATTTTAGTTATAAATTTTCAATAAAGTACACTTTTTTTAAAAAAAATATATATATGTATAAAAACTAATTTTCTCACCATAAATTAACCAAGCCTTGTTATTTCTTTGTTATCTTCCACATTTTTATTTCCTTCTTTGTTACCAATTTAGTTTTCAAAATTAAAGTGGTGATCAAGTTCTTAGACATAATGTATATTTTTTCACTCAATTAAATTAACATAGGGGTTTTATTCGCAAGATTTTCTTCCACAGAATCAAAGAATTGCCGGACATTTTTCTAAACACTTTTTAAAATGATGACACATTATTTTTTTTATACTTTATAAAAACAACAATCAAATTATTTCTTATCAGGTGGATTTGGTTATATAAATTAAACAATGCGTTATTATACTTATTTAAAATTTTGTACTCTTTAATTATATGTCAATTTTCTTTACTCAAACACTGTCAATGCAATATTAAAAATATTTATTGATTTTTTAATTATTATTCCCAAAAGTCAACACTAGGCACAAGGTCCTAAAGATAAATACAAAGAGAAAGTGCAGGGAGAATATTGCGGCTCTTCACTTTATCAGATTTGGCCAGTAACTTTTTTTTAAGAATTATTGAAATTTTTTAAAATACACAAATTTTGATTTTAATTTTATAAAATTATTTTTTATCTTTATATTTTTAAAAAATTAATTTTAATCTAAATATTTATTGTACTGCCAACAAAGATTAATCTAAGTGACAAGTAGTTCAATATTTTTTAAACAAAATTTTGAGTTTGAATCCTTGTTCATATTACTTTTTCTTAAAATTATGTTGGCAAGAAGAATAAAATTATAATTTTAAAAATATAAAAATTAAAATTTAATATAGTTTGAGAGATTAAGAATATATTTGTTTTTTTAACTAGAGTATTGTTTAAGAAATTAATAAATAATATTTTTAAAAACATATTAATGTGTATTAAAAATTATGAAAATAAGTGGTTATTTACATGTTTTAAGAAAAAAATGAGACTTTGGTACCATAATAAGGGCCCCATTGAACTGTATGCATTGAAGAGAGGCAAGTCCCAAAATGGGCAAAAAGAAGTGTCCGTATCTAAGCAGTTTCTAGTGTGGCGTTGAACCAAATCTAAAGTGACCCGCACATGTATTTGCCCAAGAAATTTCCGAATAAGTTACACCAAATTTAATATACATATATCATTTAGATTGTAAAACATTACTTTAAAGGAACGAATATTCAACGAACATGGACATCAATTATGGAAGGAAGCTTAGTGCAGAAGAGAATCTGTCCGCTTTGATGAATTTATACAGATTCATTATTGTTGTATTTTGATATTTTTACTTCTCATTTTGTCATTTGAGACTTATTTATGGTAAAATTCATACAAAAACTTATAATTCAATTATGCAAAAGCAAATCTCAAGACCCAAGGAAGCTTTTTGGTTTTTCTTTTGCCACATTTGGTCTTGGATTTTACATGCAACATATGTATATAACATTATTTTGATGCGATGTACTAGCCAGTAAAAATTAGGGGCAACAGCATAAATGATGGAAAACACAAAGAAAAAGAAAAACAGTTATCTTCAAGGGTGATATTTATTTATCCAAATGGCAATTTAGACATAGCAGTGGGGGCAATTTCTAGTACATTGAGAATTAAAAAAGGAAAGAAAGAAAGAGGGGCGGGTTTAGGGGTACACAAACAAGGAATATGACATGCTTTATATAATAATAATAATAATAATAATTTTGTAAGGGTAGTGTCCTCTTTGTGATTAAGTAGAGGGCATGAAATGAAACCCTGAAGGAGTAATGTTAGCAATAGTTTGAGTCCCAACATGATTGATCCCAACAAATTGCAGTGCTGAAATGAGAGCCCCAGCAGAAGGAAGTTTGGCATTGCAATTAGAGAGAGGGGTAGCAACCACAAGGTTGCAACCAGTGAGCAGTGAAGATAGATCAAATAACAGGCTATCCATCATAATTGAAAACCTTCCATCACCATCGCTTGTTGCATCAGAAAACACCTTTCCTCCACACAACAGTTTCACTTGAGCATCTGAAATATATATCATATATAGCATCATCACTAGTTAGACCCAACTATAATAAATAAGGCTAATGTTTACAATATTAGTTTGTGTTAGAAGAATGACCAATATAACTTTGCAATTGTGGTGTTCTTTCAAATTCTGCTTTTGAGTACTTATTTCTTGCATGTGTGATAGGCAAGTCTCATTCCCATTAATTCTGATTACCATTATATCTTGAAATTTCCATCAAATTATTTCAAAATGAGAAGTTATATGTTCACATCCCACTAAAAAAATATTTGAAAAAGAGAGATAGAAGGAGACAAGAAAAATAAAGAAAAATTAGAAATATGATGTGATAAAAAAAAAGATATAAATAAAATGTAAAAAGTATATATACGCTAATATTGTTTCAAAATTCACTCTTCTTAAAATTTTAGTCAGTATTGCATGTTTGGGATAAATGAATTAATAGAGGATTCAGTTGTTTTATAAGTAACATTAATATATTGAATTTTGATTCACTATAAATATAAATATTTCAAATTTTTATACTATTAATACGTTAAAAATCATTGTATATATAATTTTTTAAGTAATTATTGTAAAAGTTAATGACATGTGAATTTATGATTAAATGAATAGATAAGATAAAGTCAAGTTATTTCTACCTATAAAAGTTATTCTTGCCCCATCTTGCATATTTAATATTATGATTGAAGTTTTTTTTTTTAATATCTTCTTCCTATATTTACCCTAGCTACCTCATTATTGTCATGCCATTTAAATTTTTCATATCTTTTTTTCGTAATTTTGTATGTAAAAGTGTTTTCTTAGATAATTTAATTAAAATAATTTATCTTAAAATATTTTTTTAGCAAATATAGCCAAGCATGTGCTATTTTATTATAATTGATTATTAACATGATTTTTTTTACAATTAATTCAAGCATACTCATAACTAAAATATTATTTTACTTTTCCATTAGTTTATAATGAAATTATTATTGGACTAAATTGGATTATCCATCATGTTTCATGTCCAAAACCTTAACAAAAGAAGAGGTAAAAAAATATTATAAAGAGAATTTATTTAATATTTACTTATCACAATAATAAATAATCTCTTGGTGTATTGGGACTTGGATAGTTCTTTATATGAGTGATGATTTACAACATTTAGAAAATGCAAAAAAGTAATCATCCTTTATAACAATAATGTATATTAGAACTGAGAGTTTTGCGAAATGAATGCAAATTGCAAAGAATTTATGGCCTTACTTGGGAAAACTGGGAGTGCGGCACCATTGGCACCCATATTGTTCTTGAAAGAGCAAAACACAGTTCCTTGAACATTAACCGAACTCAGGAGATCGCTGAGAAGCCCAAGCTGAGCTTTGGCTTGGGGAATTGGCATTACAGCAATTAGGAGAAATGTGATAAGATATTTCAAGGTCATGGCTCTCAGATAAATTATAACTTGCTTGCAACAATTTAGCTGTGCTCATACACAATTTTATAGTACAGTGCAGTGCCAAGTTACGTAACCCAACATTATTACACCCACCAAATTGGAATTTGCGTGTGCTTGTTATAAGCTGCATAACTATGCGCCTTATACCAAATTTGGCAATTTTTTTTTTTCTTTTCTCTTCTTAACCATATCATTTTAAGGTTGTCATTTTTCAATGCCAAAATGTCAAAGGTGCATTCTATGTAAAGCCAATGTTCTGGGCACCATTGTATCCTAAAAGAAGCAACACATTCTCTTCTGCAAGCTATGTGATCTTTGAATGGCCCAATGAGTTCCCACTAATTGAATGCTCTGCATACAATCATGATTCGCAAATATGTCACCACACTCTGTTTCCACCGTTCATCATTATTGTTTTTCTCATCTTGTGTTTAGTGGAGTTGAGTAAAGTTACACTACGCATCTATTTTGGTCCATTAATAATGAAATTGACATCAACATCATTATTTCACACATAAATTGTGAAATTTAAAGGTTCAGTTGAAGTAGTTTCTTAGTGTTGAGACACTAAATGATACTTTTTAATAACTGAGAGTGAATTAACTTACCTTCAAAAATCAATATTATTCTCATATATTTTAGAATATTAAATCGATATTTTTCTCTACTGTGCTCTAGTTTGGTCTAGTATAAAAGTTTATGTTATTTCTACTAATAGAGCTTAGTAATATATGAATCTAAAATTCACATTTCTAAAAAGAAGTAAAAATATTTTCATAGGGCTGGGAGACTTCTCGGGTCATCATGCTATTATTATTCTTAGTTTATATATATAGCATATAGACTGTTATATTGATTACAGTAAAAGGTGCTTCGAATGTAAGTGGTTATCAAAAAATTTTAAAAAGAAAATAAAAATTTAATAAAATAAAAATACAAAAGGTAAATAAAATTTAGTTGTATTATAATTTATAGTTTTTTCTAATTTACGACTTATTTGGAAGGGGTTATAAATAGTTTCAAAAAAGTAGTTTATGATTTTCATGAGCTGTTTTCTTGATATAGCTTATTAAATTACTTTTATATATAAAATAATATTTATACAGTATATATATATATATATATATATATATATAATCTCGATATTAAATTAAGGATAATTTTATTTGATTAGTTAAAAAAAAAATCCTCTTTCAAATTCTCTTAATTTTAAAAGAGTTAAAGTCGATAGAAGTAATTTTTTGACTCATTTTCCTCCTCTTTCTTAAATATATTAAACCAAACATAAAAAATCACAAACATTAATTATAAAGCAATAATTAATAAATAATTGATAATTATAAAAAATTAAATAATAATACTAATTTTATTTAATTTCGGTAACTAACAACTCATGAATGAAAGGTGACGATGATGAAGTTGCAGAGGTCAAGACATGGAGCCAAAATGTTTGGTTCTTTTAGTGATTCACTGAGCAACGTTAACGTTAATCCTTCATTGTGTTCCAACACACCACACTATCAATTCACAGTTACAGGTACCCACACACTACACTCTATTATTCACACACAAAGTTGCTTCTTTTTCTTTGCAAAACCCTTCATTCCCTCGTTTTTATTCTTTTCTCAGATCCCACTGTACTCCACCAAGTTCTCGAACGCTGTAGAGTTTCAATGGATTTCAAAACTGCCACTAAAACCCATGCAAGGGTCGTTGTACTTGGCTATGCCACTTACCCTTCTCTTGTGGCTTCTCTGATATTAACCTATGTTCACTTTCACCAACACCACATTGCCCATCATGTTTTCTCTAACGTTTTGGATCTGTTTTACATGAATCTGGTGATCGAAAGCTTAATGAAAGGTGGGCATTGTGATGTTGCCAAGAGGGTGTTTGGCAAAATGCCTGTTAGAGATGTGGTCACTTGGAACTCCATGATTGGAGGGTATGTTAAAAACATGCGCTTTTCTGATGCTTTGAGTTTTTTCCGGAGGATGCTGAAGAGTGTCAAGGTTGAACCTGATGGGTTCACCTTTGCTTCTGTGGTTGCTGCGTGTTCTCGCCTTGGGGCTCTTTGCTATGCCAAGTGGGTGCATGGTTTGATGAATGAGAAAAGGGTTGAGCTGAATTATATATTGAGTGCTGCATTGATTGACATGTATGCTAAGTGTGGTAGAATTGATGTTTCAAAAAGGGTTTTTGAGGATGTTACGCGTGATCATGTGTCTGTTTGGAATGCTATGATTAATGGGTTGGCAATTCATGGGCTTGCTTTGGATGCGATGGCAGTGTTTTCGAGGATGGAGATGGAATGTATTTTGCCAGATTCTGTTACTTTTATTGGGATTCTGACTGCTTGTAGCCACTGTGGATTGGTTGAAGAAGGTCGCTCATATTTTGATATGATGCAGAATTGTTTCTTGATTCGGCCACATCTTGAGCATTATGGAAGCATGGTTGATCTCTTGGGACGAGCAGGGCTCTTAGAAGAGGCCTATGCTATGATTAAGGTGATGCCAATGGAGCCTGATGTTGTTATTTGGAGAGCAGTTTTGAGTGCTTGTAGAATCCATAGAAAGAAAGAACTTGGTGAAGTTGCCATTGCAAACATTTCCCACCTAGAGAGTGGGGATTTTGTGTTGCTGTCAAATATGTATTGTTCTTTAAATAACTGGGATACTGCTGAGCGAGTGAGACGGATGATGAAAATGGGAGGGGTTCGTAAAAGGCGTGGTAAGAGTTGGATTGAATTAGGGGACAGTATTCACCAGTTCAATGCAGCTGATCAGTCACATGCTGAAATGAAAGCAATTTACAGAGTGCTGGAAGGTTTGATCCAAAGAGCTAAGTTGGAGGGATTCATACCCTTGACAGATTTGGTTCTGATGGATGTTTCTGAAGAGGAAAAGGAGGAAAATTTGATGTTTCATAGTGAAAAGTTGGCCTTGGCCTATGGGGTCCTGAAAAGTAGCCCAGGAACAAAAATCAGGATTTCCAAAAACCTGCGTATCTGTCAAGATTGTCATGATTGGATTAAAATTGTGTCAAGAATATTAAACAGGGAAATAATTGTGAGGGATCGCATCCGTTTTCACCAATTTGAAGGTGGTTTTTGCTCTTGCAGAGACTACTGGTAGCTGAGAGTTAAATCTTGGTTGCATTTTTTAGTGGCCCTTAACAAATACAAATGCTGATTGAGAAGAAACTATCTCAGAAGTGTATGAGGGGATGGACATTGGACACCCAATCCTTAAGCATCAAAGTATGAACAGCTCTCTCCACACCACTAATTACAAAGACCAAAATCCTATCCGATTAGGTCCTTTGCATCCATGTTAGCTTTGAACAAGGTAAAATGAAAACCAATTTTGGGTAATTTTTGAGTAAAATGATTTTAAGTTGCTATTATGTAAATATGATGGGTAAAGTAAAAATTATTGTATACAATTTGGCAGTTATATATGTTGATCCCTTTTTGATAATTGACAATGTCCCTCCTGATGATCAGCAAGAAGTAAACTAGCAGGAGTGCAGGACATCAAATGGAAACTATTGTAGTGAATGTAGCAAGATACTAAGTGGCTGCACCTGGACCTAAAAGGAGAAGGGAACTTCCACCATTTTTTATTCTTCCTGATGGACTAGCAATCTGTTTGAAGCTAGGAGATTAGTTAGGACAGATATTTTAGTTTGTTAGCAGAAGGGGTTAGTGAGGTATATAAATAAGAGGGGATGTAAAGGAAGGGGCATGCAAATTGTTTCACTCATAAACTGAGCTTGTGCTCTTTGTAACAGGGAAATCCTTAGAGGAGATCTCTCTCTCCTATTTTCTGTTTTTATCATTCAATTCAATGAAAATCATTTATTTTTCTTTCTTTTCTATCCTGGATTTGTAACAGCATCTCGAGAAATCCTTTTTGCATTAAGAAGTGAAGAAAATAAGAAAATATTTGTGTTCTCCTGGTCCAGATTCTGCCGCGTAATGTACTTCTGTAATAGCCGACACTTTGTGTCCTGGATTCACTTCTTGCACCTCCAAGTGGGATGTTGCCAATTATTAGAAAGAACAGTATTTAAACTTTCAGTCATTTTTAATTTACTCAACATATTTTCATAATAAAAACTTAAGATAATTTTTAATTTTCCCATTGCTTCCTTTACTTCAATCGACTACATAGCAATTTTGTGCTGATCATGCAATTGCTCTGACCGTGAACAGGAGTGGAGCATGTTACATCAAATAGAGAACCTAGGGGCATCAAGTTGGAATATTTTGAGCTATCCTATGTCAAATTAACCACGTCTCTTAGTAGACGATAGGACACCATTAATCAATTTATTCTGGATGCATAAAGTTGTTCCTGCAAACATGGGAAATTGAGAGTTCTTATAAATTGAGTGTATCATGTATCCAATTCATCAAGTACCTTTAAATGCAAATAAGGTGTACGATGATTTTTCCATGCTTTACCAATTTTTCTGAATTAATTGCAGAAGAGGAAGCCTTCCTCAGACTAATCATTTGTCTGAGTAACAAGTTAATGAGCTTTACTGAGGCTTTGGTCGCTGTGTTTGTTTTGTTTGAGAAGGAGAAAAATTGAAAGATGATACAAAACTGAACAAGATGAAAAAAATTGTGACATTCAATTTGCTTGGTAAAGGGTCGGAAAATCACTCTCCTAGTCTATAGCCGGGTCCAACTTCTTGTTCCAAAATCCCAAACTACAAATTATGCTAATCCAACCAATAGCAACAAATATTACTCATCATTAGTTCTCCTGGATTAATTATGCTCATCTGATGGTAATCCTTTGTGAGGGAGAATATTACTTCATAAAAAAAGAAGCAGCAAAGTTTGTGTAGTATTCTTGTCTGTATTCAAAATCCTGTAAGGAGGATGTGGAAATGTCCAAGAAAGTAAGAAGAGAATGGGTGAGATTTTGAAACGTCATGTACTTGCAGATGACATGAAATTCCTTCCTCTATTCCCACTTCTCACTTCTTTTCCATTCAGTCCTCTTCTTGATTTTGGACAGTACCAATACGAATAACATAATGTAGTACGTTTTTTGGAAAACACATAATGAATTACTTGGTGCTGTCCTGAATTAAAGATAAAGACGCGAGGCAACAAACTAATAAAACAAGAATAAGAATAAAATTTACATGATATATTTTAAAGTCTTATGGTGCCATCTACCAATTAAAACTATTCATCTCAGAAATTTATAGACTCATAATATATTAGCTATTGAGGTAAAATCTAATAAATAGGTGAACGTAAAAACACCTACGATACTAAATATAAGTTTTGTACAATAATTTTCTCATGAAATCAAGCAAATTTGATAATAAATTTTGACCTGTAAGACGAAGATATAAAACTAAAAAATAATAATTTTGAAACGTCAAAATCAATTTGTTTGTTCTTTTTTATTTTTCATGATAAATTAATAAGTAAAATTAACACTTTTAAACCTACAATTTTAGACTGATTGGGGAGAAGCTCAAGTAACAAGCTACATCATTAACTTAGGTGACGACATAGGTCAGCGGGAGCAAGGAATAAGCAGCTATTTAGGAAATACGTTATAATATAAGGTAATATGTATTGGTTACCCTTATCAATACTATCCTAGACTCTCTAGTTTAACCTTATTATTACTGACTAGTAAATTAATACTCATAGATTGATTCATATATTACTCGAACACACACTCTCAATTAAGAATTAACACATCCTTGAGAGGGAATTCCCTTGTTACAGTTCTAAACTTTTTCATTATCACTCCTATGTGACTTCAGCTTCCAACTATTTAAGGTAGTAGGATATAGAGGTGGAGCATTGTAGTAGGGGGAAAGAGCTATGACTCTTCTAACACATTTCATTAAATATATTAGCAGTTCTCTCAATAAATTAAAAGACTGAATTTTTACTTTAAATTAATTGTTCTTTATAGTTTATTATTTAAAACTCATGCAGTTAAAGTTTAAACCTTAATAACAAAAATTCAAATCATAGAAATAAAAAGATGAACAATTATTTTTTTACATAGAAAAAATAATTAAAAATTTTAATTCTGATGTAATTGTCAATGATGTTAAGCATTTCAAAGAACAAGAGTTATATCTTAGGTAAATATTATGTTTGTATTTAATTTTGTGTTACTGAACGTGTATAACTTTTTTTAACTATACTAATTAATTAATTATACTCTCTCAATATAATAAGTCAAACTGTGTTACTGATGAAATAGAAAGGTACACCTTACAGCATAAAAGAAAATAAAATGAGTTTCACAAGTCAAGGATGAAAATTTTATTTTACTGATTTGTGAAAAGTGGGACAACAACTTGCGATACAAGATGCATATGTGAAGCACCTTTCACCATTCAAAACAAAATTTTTATAATGTTAGCTAGCAGAACGCCATTATTTAGGGAAGCACTAAAAGAATGCTATGCTCAGCTCCATACACATTTCTCGCTTTTCTTTTCCCGTTGGACTCTCTTTCTCCTTTCATACCAAACCATCTATCATCAATGACAATGTCGTCTCTCATAAAGTCCATATAATCACCACATCAAACATCAACCTCATATGCCTAAGAGTTAAATTAACTTGAAACTTGGCACAAAATGGAACCTTACAGTTTGTGTTCTTCATTAGAAATGTTGACACAACACATCAACACCCTCATTGAGCTTATAATCTCACCTTACCATTGTTTGGCTATGTTTTTGGTTGCATGTCTATCAGTCCTTTACTTTGCATGCAGAAGAAAAGCACCCATTTATTTGATAGGCTTTACCTGCTACAGTCCACCCAGTTCTTATAGGCTACCAATGGCCATGTTTGAAGAGAATCAATTTTTTGATAACATGGATCCAGAAGCTGTTGCTTTCCAATGCAAGATCATGGCAAAATCTGGATTCAGTGATGAAACATCCATTTCTCCATCTCTTGCTCAGATGCCCAAAATAAAAGCTCTCTCCTTTGCACTTGAGGAGGCTGAAACAATAATGTGTTCAGTAATCACGGACCTGTTTCAGAAAAACAACATAAACCCAAAAGCCATTGACATACTCATAACTAATAGCAGTGTGTTCTGTCCCACCCCGTGTCTTAGTGCCATGGTGGTTAACAAATTCAGAATGAGGAGCAACATCATGAGCTTCAACCTATCAGGTATGGGATGCAGTGCTGGAATTATATCAATGAGTCTAGCTAAAGACTTGTTGAGGGTTCACAGGAACTCACTGGCTTTAATAGTAAGCACAGAGACACTGAGTCTAAATTGGTACACTGGAAAAGTACCATCTATGCTGCTATCTAATTGCCTATTCAGAATGGGTGGAGCAGCTATATTGATGTCTAGCAGGGCCCAAGATAAGCACAAGGCAAAGTATGAACTACAGCATATTGTTAGAACAATCACTGCACAGGATGATCAATCTCATGGTTGTGTCTACCAGGAGGTGGATCCAGAGAACAAAGAAGGTATATCAATATCAAAGAACATAGTTAATGTGTCTGGAGATGCACTGAAGAAAAATATAGCTTCACTGGGACCATTGGTTTTGCCATTAAGGGAGCAATTCCTGTATGTATTTTCCATTATTTGCCACAAACTGTGGAGTACAAGAAGAACAAGCATCTATACTCCAAATTTCAATAATGCTTTTGAGCATTTCTGCATACATTCAGGGGGAAGAGCCATTATACAAGCTGTTGAAAGAAATTTGAGGCTAAGGAAACAGGATGTGGAGCCATCAACCATGACTCTTTACAGATTTGGAAATACTTCATCTTCTTCAATTTGGTACGAGCTGAGCTACATAGAAGCAAAAGGGAGGATGAAATGTGGTGATAGGGTATGGCAAATTGCCTTTGGAAGTGGATTCAAGTGTAATAGTGCAGTGTGGAAATGTATATGCCACGTGAAGACAGACACTGCCACTGCATGGAGGGATACAATTCACTCATACCCTGTGGATATTGTCAGAACAAACTGAGGATACTCACTATTGTGTATTTGGGTCGTTGTACACATTCATCTTCGCCTGGCTTCAAATATCAACCTTCAACATCTTACATACCTTCTCAAAAGTGAAATTTAATTTGAAGAAAATGATTATATCCTTGCATTACGACAACCAATCTAGTCACTTTGTTAACCAATAACTAAGTCATCATAATGAATTGTTTTAAATGGTCTAAAATTGTGTGCATAGTCCTTTTCCCATCTACAGAAGCTATAAAATAGCACTAAAATTTAAGGGACAATGTATGCATAATGAATCGAGTGATAAGCTTAAAACTAATCAAGCATAAAATAAGATAAATTTAAAAACGGTTTCCCCTCACTTGGCAAAATAGATTCTCAATGAATATCATCTTCAGAGTGGAATATTGAATAAATTTCTCTAGTTTGAGATAATCAAAACTATTTAACACATTTGAAATGTTCAAAAATCATGAAAACTTAACAGATTAATAAGTTATATACATATGGTTAGCCAGGCAGTTTGAACTCATTTAAACACTTCAAACAGACAAATCTATTTTCATTAGTGTAATAAACATTTTATTAGTACAGAACTGGGAGATGTATTCTGGGAATAATGGTATACAGTTCCAAAACATATAAAACATTCTCCAACAACTACAATTTATTAATATTAATTAATATCCAGGTAAATCCACTGCCAAAAAAGCTCAAGTATAACCATTGGATTCACGCCCCATCTTGCTAAACTTTTAGTAATCGAGACGAAAAAAACACATAACAT